CCTGAGCTGTCAAACCAAGCGCTGCTTACAGTTAGGGGTTGCCTGTCACCTGGCTCAGCTGGAGCAGCACAGCACCCCTGGGCCTGCATTAGGGAGGCAGTCACGTGTTTCATGCCGCTGCAAAATTCGATTGAAATGGCAGTCCAAGATTGGAGACTCGTGGTCAGGAAGCGAGGTTGTTGGCCGCTTTGGGTAAACGCCATCATTCTGCCGGTTTGGTGCATACCAAACCGGGGTTGTTCCAGCGCTGCCGTGACTGCAGCGGGCCCTACACACCCAGTATTTTTCTAACTACTGGCTCCTTGTCAGATGTAAGAAGGTGCCATTGTGTCTGGGGATTTTCTAGCATTTGCAGTATTGGTCTGTAGAGATTTTGCCTGATGAGTAAGGACACACAGTGTATTGAGCAGATTGATGTGAAGGACCAATGATTAAATGAGAAAATAACTTATTTAGGAGGAATAATCTTACATCTGCATGGAGATAAGGACATGCAAATAATACTAATTCCACTCCAGTATAGATTTGAGTGAATTGAGAGCAAGTAAGAAGGAATTGTGATTTATTGAATGTTTTGCAACGCTTGATTTTTACAGCATGTCAAAGTAGACGTATCCCTTGTTGTAAAGGAGTGTATGTTCAGTTTTGGGCATCATGCCACTTTGAGTTACCAGGTCCATTTGTCAGAGTTATAGACCGTAATATTGGCCTTGACATGTCATAACGTGGCCCGCTGTGGCAGCCTGCCAAGTTTAGGCAAGTATCTTGTATTCCTGCTAGTTTGCAGGCTCCACTTGTGTATTATCTGACCCCCCCCCCACACTCGAACATTGAGGCTGCGTTTAATGAGCTTGTTCAAAGAATAGATTTTCTTTGAAGTTCTTATTTTGCAGAATGTTTGGCTACTTCAAGGCCGTGAAAAAAAGTGGGTAGAAAATGACCACAGACTTTTTCAGGATGGCATGATCAAGATTGTTTTCCATACTTTCCAGATAAAAATACACATTAAACAGATTACATTAAAAAGAAAAATCTGATTTAGGAAATATGTTAATGATTTTGTTTAAAACAGTACTTAATAAAAATGATTATCAATTATAAAAACACTGAAACACTTTAATGACTAGTCATACTGTTGCAGAACAATCATACATGGTTAAAGGATTTATCAGTGGGATATAACTGATTTGATAGGCTGATGCATGTGACCTGTTACAACCATAGACGCATGAGAAGTGGGCGTAGTCATGGTGACGTCACCCGTTGGTTTGTGGACTGCAGTTTTGAAGCCTCGAGTTTGGCCAATAGAGCGCCGCCATGTTGAGTTTTGGCCCTAAAGCCTCCCCTGCTTCCTGGTCTCAGTTCCTCTAAACGGGACCATAATTTACTAAATGAACATCATGCTGTGTTGAAGAAGACTTGAAACTAGCGACTGAGACCAGAAACTCATCAGGAAAGTGTTTACTGAGGGAATAAATCAGCTGACAAGTAGAAACATTTTGCCGTTATTTCTAAAGGTGTGTTCACACTGAAAGCGAAGTTCGCCTCGCTTTACTCCCGCGAGTTTGACCGCTGGACATTTTGAGTCTCCACACACAAAACGATAAGCGAATAAACGCAACCCGCAAATACTAGAGCTATATGAACCCAAAGTAAACCTTTTGCTGTGATTTAATTGCAATAAACGGATAAAACTGATGACAAAATAACTACGATATGATGCGGATATGTTAGACAAATGAATTAATGCTTTGTCAGGTCTGTCAGCAGGACAACAACCAGTGTTTTCCATACGTTCATTTATTTGTGGCGGCCTGCCACAATATCAACGCTGACCGCCACAGATTGATTTTCATTTTTATTTTATTTTTTACTTGGCCTATTTAGAATCGCGTTTGATTGCAGAGCGCCTTAGCGTATTCGCGCAGCCCGTCCTCTTGCTCGTCCCTCTTTCTCCCTCTCCTTCATGAACACCGCTGCACAAGTCTGTCCAACACAACGCTGTCGATGTCGGAGACCCAGCTTAAAAAAGTTATGGGCAAGCATGTAAGGAGCCTAGCTAATAAGGAGAGCTAAGTTAATGTTAGAAAACACCTGGGTTTTCGAGGCTAGCACGCTCTATATAGGTGGAAGTCAACATCTGAACTTATTGCAGGATTTCCGTATGAAAGTGGTTGTGTTTTGGATTATGTTCGCTCATGAGTTCAAGCGAGCACGCGGTACGAGTACACACCTGGTTGCAATCTTTAAACCGCACCGCTAGTGGTCGCTGAAAACTCCATAATGCCCCTTTAATGGAACCGGACTTCTTTTTGCAACCATCAGAGTTACCCCCTGCTGGCCGTTCAATAGAATGCAGGTTTAACACTAGAACCGCCAACGGGTCAAATTTACCCGCGGCTGTTTTTTGATTGTATGTATCTTTTTTTCAATATAATATTCAAGTCCCCCAGTCTCTGACTTTTCCTAAAAGTGTGTTATATAGCATGGCAAAAATGTAAATATAAAGATCGATAAAAAAAATTGACATTTATACCTATAAGCGGCAGCGGGTAAAATTGACCCCTATGGAGAATACAGTCATTTCAGCGCTGTTCATGTCGTGTGTTTAGATAAACATTCTATGTTGCTATTGGATACGCCTTTCCCACTACATTTACATATATTCATTTAGCTGACGCTTTTATCCAAAGCGACTTACAATTGCTTTGTCAGAGGTCGCACGCCTCTGGAGCGACAAGGGGTTAAGTGTCTTGCTCAGGGACACGGTGGGGGATTGAACCCGGGTCCATCACACCAAAGGCACTACAGGCATTACACTTGCTCAGCGCAGTGAGTGAAGGAGAGTGTGACGGTGGGGGCTGAGCGATGTGTCCTGGGTTGATTCTGCATCTGACGGGTCATCATCTGACAGCGATCCACTTGAATGAAGTAAACATGCATAAAAGCCGCTGCTCATAGCTTTTGTGTTGCTACATGATCATCAAAACTAATGCTGCAGTAGTCTAGTTTTTCCCTTTGATAGAGGTCTGTTCTGCGGTCCCTTCAAGAGAGCTACTATGAATTTTGGAATTGATGATGATAATTTTTTTTGAATAAATAGCCTACTTTTATTTGAACTTTCAAACTTTTATACCTATGTGTTAGTCTCTGGATGCCCAATGGAGTCCGAAAAAACAAGCAGAACAGTAAGATTTAGCCGACATTATGAGGTTATTATTATTACCGCCTATAAAAAGCCAGTCTTTTTTGTAAACTCTATGCTGCATTGAAATTCAAGCTGTGTTTAGAATATAACTAGGCTATAACATCTATAACAGCGGCGAGTGGATCACATCAAAAGAGCCGCCGTGTGTGCGCAGCGAAGGCGAACGAATGAATAAAATAGACTAAACATTCTGTAAATGCCTGAAATATGGGAATGGTGTTTATAGGAAACGCACAGCCAATGTGCTAAATGTTTCCCCAAAGTGTGTTGGAGCAACATGTAGTAGAAATAATCACAAAATCACAGCATCTTTGGCGGTTATAGGTATACAACGAACCCTGGCGGTTCTAGTGTTAAGGGACTTCCTTATTGGATTCATGTCTCAGGCTGGAAGCTTCCTGCTTGATTACCACCCGCCTCTTGTAATTTGGTCTACATAGAATATGTACAGAATGATGAGCGTTGGTAACGAGCAAAATGCTCTTCAACTACACGCTTTTAAATGTGGTTTATTAATTAAATCAGTGTGTTGTTTCAGAAACATTACCCTTCTGCCTTTTCTGAGTAATCCTTTCTGAAAAATGTGGTCAGTTCCTTGACCAAAGTGTCTCTGAATGAACTAAATTATTTCTGAAGAACAGATGATGAACTTAGACGTCTAAAACTTAAGTCAGTTTGAACCTAAAGACACATTTTCCACTAGGGGTGTGACAATAAATCGATACGGCAATATATCATTGTACATTTTCCCATGATACTGAATCGATATTCCAGCCCATCATATCGATACATTACATTAACAAAAAATAGCGCTTCAATGGTTAGCTCAATGCTAACATATAATGGGAATCTCCACTAACGTGCTAACGGACATTAGCATCGTTATTGGAAAATACAATCTTAACCTAAACTACACATTTTGCTTCACATCAGAGTGACACTCTGTGCAGATACTTAAAGTACATGTTTCCTGAGCTCTGTGTGAAATAATAAAGAGCTGCTAACTTCACCGTCTTGATCTGCCACTCTACACAGACCAGCTACAGCAACCCCAAAGGGTCAAAACTCAAACACAATATTCCCAGTGGCCTAAAAATACAGTTATCAGTAGGAAGAGAAAGGGCAGCACGACGCTGTGTCACTGAACAGTTAATAATATAATGTGAGGTACAGATTTGACACAGGTGGAACACAGCCATTTGTATTAGCAGTAAAAATTTTGCATTTTATGTGCCTTTTTATAAACTAGATGTTTTAATAATAATTTTTCATAGTTGCTCTGTAGTTTTATTTACAGACTGAGCAGAACTGTGCTGTTTTCTAACAGTTTGCATTTGCAGCAAATAAACAGTAAACTTTTTTTACAGGCATTTTGTGTTAATAGTTATAGGATTGTGATTGTTATCGTGAGGTACCCTGCGATTCCCACCCCTATTTTCCACTGCAAAAAAAATTTAAATTAAAGCTGCAAGCAGCGTTGAACGGGCCCTCGCCCCACATTACAGCCTTCCATCTGGGAGAATCCACAACATCCGTGATTTCTGCCGTCAGCTGTATCTGTCGGACTCCTCTGGCTTCATGGTATAAAGATCCACAGGCTGTCGGCTCTCGTGCTAAATAACATGTGCGTGCTCATTCGTTTGTCCAAATATCACTTGTCTTCTAACTTCTAATAAACCAGAAGTCTACTCAGAGACTGCATATTGTTGTTATTATTATTATTCCCTCTTCTTTTTCTATGTAGGTATTGAATGTAGTGAGGGGTGTTATACAAGCAGAAGAAGAACGCCTTGATGACGAAACACGCTCGGCTAAAATCGACTATTAAATTCGTTGCCAGTGAATTTAATAATTTTACATTCATGACGTCATCGGGCCGTAAGGACACCGTCACCTTAACAGAGTAAAGTGATGTGAACAGTAAAGTTACTAAAACAACATCAGCACTGCAGTAACACCTTCACCACCTCAAACCTCCAGAGCGTGGCAGCGTTTCACTCTTCACTCAGCCAGAAAGGTCGTGAACTGCAGCGTCTGCTGAGCTCTCCTGCAGACACCGGAGATCTGAAGAGGAGGCGCGTAACGTCGTGTCTCTGTGGACGATGAAGACTCGTCTCTGTAAGCTCGCTTCACGTTAAAGCCTGTTGCTTCAGTTTCCCTTGGTCGATTCGATGCGTCGCTCATGGCGACGTTCGCAGCTGGAGAACATGTTGCTGCAGAGTGAGCAAGATCAGACAGCACCGACAATTTTATAGTTTCTAAAGAAGAGAGAACAGTTCTCCTGTCTGTGCGTGAGGCGGCGGGTACTCCGCTCTTAAAAACTCCCTTAAAAAAAAGGGAGGTTGTGAAACGCTGTCTACTCAAAAATATTTATTTTTCACCCCCCCTGTAAATTAGGCAAATGTAATGCATGACGTTATTCCTTTATAGTGTCAGTTTGTCCCGCCGTGTTGCAGCACCGGCATGTAAACTGCTCCGTCACTCATTTCAGTGGAACTTTCTGTTGCTGCAGCAGAAACGTTCATTAAAAGATGTGTTTTTGAAAGCAGTGTTTCGTGACTGTTTATTGGCACACGCCAAAGCTGGTAGCTAAATAAGACGTATTGTGTAATTTTGCGATTCATAATCCGAATAGTCGATTATTCGTTTCAATTATCGATAGATTAATCGACTATCAAAATACTCGTTATTCGGCATTCTGACCAAACGCGAATTGAATCCACGCAACGCTTTCCTGGCGGGGGTTTTATCGCTGGACTACTGCTGAGTTGTGTTTACACACAACGTGATAACGCGAATAAACACAGCTCGCCATTACTACAGCTGTATGAACCCAAAGTAAACATTTTGCTGTGATTAAATAGCAATAAACAAATCAAACTGCTGCCGAAATAACTACAATATGATGCAGATTTGTTAGACATATGAATTCATGCTTTGTCAGGTCTGTCAGCAAAACAGCATGACAACAACTTCTAAAATGTTTGTTTTCTGAATGGAGTTTGGTTCGATCAAGGCTATGCTATGCTAACTTGGTCACAGTAAAGTACAATGACGGCTGGAATAAAGTTAGACACACATTTTCTGAACTCACCAGGTAGTTCTACCTCCTCGCTTTCTTTTCTCCCAGCAATGTCCAGTTTTGTCCAGTTTTTATATGAAGTAGTGCCAATGTATTATAATGTTATTTACAAGGGACAGTTCAAAAGGAATACATTGTTGTATACATACATGTATTGTGAATAGTCCCAATTAAACGGGTTATTACTTGACAGCCTCCATATGCTGCTGAACGCACGGTGGTTCTGACGAGGCTACTCTCACGTGGCAGCGAGCCTCCTTGTTTACAAAGCCTGAACAAACATATGTTCTTAACATTGTTAAGAATTTTGCTCTGCCAGGCGACCCAATATAAATGGGCCTTCGACCCACTTTGGGTCCCGACCCTGAGTTTGGGAAACATGGCTATAAAGGGGGAACAAAACAGCTGAATGACGTCACTTCTGTACGGGTCTCCCTTAAACACTAGTCACGTTCTGAAATCTACAGCAGAGCCCGACGTATTGTTCTGTTTCATTCATTAATAACCTCGTCACTCTCCAGTTGTGACACGAGCTGCCATTTGCGGATGTTAGAACACTGAGCTCCGAGGTGTTTGTTTGTCAGTGTTGACGATGGGTTTCGAAGCATCCATATAACCCACAGGATCTGCTATAACCCCTCTCACCGTGATTGCTTGTAACGCAGCCCTGTCCGTTGTTTCGACGTGCTCTGGTAGACAGTCTGCTGACTGTTTTTGTTTTGTGGTGGAGGCAGTATATGGGAGTTGCAGAGCGCCCTCTGGTGTGCAAACTGTACAACACTCATGACATAAGTTAAGGATCTGAATCTTGATCCGCAATTAGCTCGTATCGGCCGATTAATATCTGCACAATGATAAATCGGTCAGGCTCTAACACATGTTACTTTTACACCAAGTAACTGAAAATAAAGCCTAGTGCAAGACACTGAAGTGATTCCTCTTTGCTGGGCCTGCATCTGTAGCTCAGTTGATACTGATACTGCCACTATTATCATCTGGGAAGAAAGTTATCCACATTACAAAATACCAACATTTGTGAGTGACCGTTAAGGTAGCCTGTCACCAATCATAGCACATACAAAAGACTAGACACAAAAACAGTTAGCCTACACTGTTAAAAAAGAGAATGAGATATACAGAGTTTATATATAAGAGTCTCCTGTTTAATATATTACGTAAAAAAGCTTGCTATATTGATGATGCTGGACGAGACAATGAACGGCAGGCCAAAACGGAAAATCTCCCGGTGCAGACTTGCTCCCTCATCGTTGTTCCACACTAAATGTAAAAAAAAAAAAAAAAAAAAAGTGTCAAATTTGCAGGTCGCACATGTGCGAGTAGTTGGTCACAGTCCCTGATTTATTGCAGCTTTAGTGACGCATCACACAGCTGCTCTCTTTGACCATCTGAGACTACAGGTGGCTACTTCAGACCCAAAGTAGCGCATTATAAAATCAATTTAACCTTACCTGACTTTATTTTATTATTATTTTTTGGCTGATCTGAAAATGATCCGATCCAAGGTTTGCACCACTAATAGACAGACACAGCATCTCCTCAGTTTCCTTGGTTACCAGGGTGATGATTCCCTCCCCCTCTAACACATGATTGGTTGCCAACGCCAGCACCTTTGTGATGCTGTAGGCTTGTTAGTGGTGGGGAGTGGAGAACTGTTGATGTCCTCTAATCCCTTCGCCTCTCTCAGCTGCCGAAGACTCATTTCTCTCGCCGTTTGAAAGGCGAGCTGTTCTCAGGGCGATTTCTCTCGCTGTAGAGCCCTGCTGATCACCTTGCACTCGCACAAATGCAACCGCCTGGAGACACGTAGTTACCGTAAAACTGGTCTAGTTTTTATAGAAGACTTTGGATGGATAAAACCTCTTAAACCCCCGCAGGGTAACCTGCTTTAGCTGCTTCTAAGCTGCTTAGATCGTTAATACGTATATATGTTTAAACTTATGATCCATGTGTCAGTATGAACACGCTGCACGTCGTTAGATCGGTTAGATTCTCCACAATTCAATAGTTCAGTTCATTTAAGGGAAACAACGAGCCCCAAAGTCTGATTCTTATAGATTTACCGGTGAAACCTCCCTGGTTCAAGAGAGGAAAGGGAAAAAAGTGCCGACTGCCGTTACCTTTGAGCTCGTTAAGCCCGAACGTGTCCGTTCCTTGATTTATTTATCTTCCTTCAGTCTGTAAGGGTCCACCCATCAACAGGATCAAAACGGCTTTTTATAAAAATGAATCTAAGTTGTGAAACCTGTCACGCTCTCTGCTAACTTCTGCCGCACTTCTCTCATCCATCCGTGTTGTTTTTGTGATGTTTCTTCAAAATAAAAGCGCGTAAGCCGTCTATCGGAGCTAGATTAAATGACATTTGATAATTTTTATACAAATATTCTGTTTGACATAAATAAACTGGTTCTTAGTAGCCTATTTCAGTTTTGTGTCCCAAATATACGCAGGGTCAACTCAGTGATTTTTAGCAAATAAAAGCCCGGGCTATTATTCAAAGTTTTACGGTACATATATAATAAATACGAATACATAATGTCGTCATCACATACCCGGCTTTTTATCATCCCAGCTGTGTGGACCGACTGCGCCTTATAGTTGTAGAGAGAGAGGACAACACATCTAAACCTGTAAATACTTTGTAAAGTATGTGTTTATGTTTCTTCTCCTCTGCCACCAACCCTTTCTTTCTCATCACACTGCAGGTGCAGCATCCTGACCAACCATCAGTCCGGATTACCCTGTTTTGTGAACGCGGCCGACCTGCTGAAGTTGATATTTAATATGCACACAAAGCGATCCGCGTCACTGGCCGCTGATCAGCACCGGATGGGGACATTTGCTTGCATTTCGAGGTTGGGAAAGAATACTTCAAACCTGAAAAACCTCAAAATACAAATGGCTCTAGGAGTCTCCCTCTCGCTCAACACATAAAAGCCACAGTTGTTCATATTTTTGTTGCGGTCATATTTAGGACGTTGCTCAGGGGATTGTTGTGGGAGGGTGTTATCTAAGCCTCGGTGCTCTTCGCTGGGGAAGGAAGCAGAGGGAAAGCCTAGGAAGTCCCTGGAGAAGAGCGCAAAAAGAAAACAGCCTGTAGCTGGCAGGCCAGCGCTCACATAACTAACAGGCACGGTTCTCCACTAACATCACGGAACAAGGAGCCCAGTGGGGGAACTGAGGTGTTGCTGCCTGCTAGTTGGGATAATATCTGTTCACACGTAACCCCCAGCGTGCTTTCTCAGCGTTTTATTTACATGGATGCTAATGGATGTTCTGCTGGATTCTCCCTCAGACGTTTTGGAAAGACCCGCAGCATCACCTGTTGCTTTCTGTTGTCCAAATCCATCCGTGGTGCAGCTGGCAGGTAAGGTGGTTTGAATCAGCCACCGGCAGGGCTCAGGGATGCCCCGACACAGGAAAACCAGGCTACTCCACTGGCCCGCTTACAGACTGTTGTTTCTAACACGAGTCCTGGACTGAAAGGTTCTCTACCAGAGAGCGAGCGAGAGGTTGTCATTTTTTTATTTACAAGACATTTTCTAACACTGCTGCTGATCTCCGGGTGCTTCAAACTCTAAATTTAAGAGAATCTCCCTACATTTTGCTAGCACGGCTCCAAACAGCCCGTCTCCATTTCAGGTCTTAACCTGCACTGTTTTCTAATTTGAAGAAAGTCACAGAGGAGGGAAAATAAAAAGCCAAGTCGGATTATCATCCCAGAATTCTTTCAAGCTCTCCTCTCCATTTTCCCTTTTTGTTTTTTTCAGCCTCAATTCATTTTTTTTTGCTGTTACAAGTCCATCTCCTACCAAACCAGGTCTACCTCTGTCAACTCTCGCACCTCACTAACCTCCCATTCATAAACCACTCAAATAAAACTGGACCAGTTCACATCAGGTGCAAGGTTAATCAGTTTGGCTGGAGTTCTCCGAGAGAGCGCCACACCACCTCAAAACTAAACTCAACACGTTTTTATTTAATCATTCCCACGATTTTCACCGAGCCTTTATTCACTTAGAGAATTTCTCCTTTTATACTGATATTACTCTAGAGACATGTAAGACTGGTCATTTTTTTCTTGGCTAGTAGTTGTAACTGATTGAGATGTTGGGTAGAACAGAGTCAATCCAGTATCATTTATCTCAAGCTCTGTAAAAGATAGCTGTCTGGACACCTCTCCTATTTACAATCTGTGGCTGGTTTGTTGATCCTGCCTTCCCGCCTGGGTTTTTTTTTGGCCGAGAGGAAAACACTGGCTTTTACAGCCGAGCAACTTGTAAGCTCCTTTTAATCTCTCTCACACACAGGAGATCAGGATTGACCTAAGAACCTAAGAGAACAAGTGTTTGCTCCTCCTCCCATCTTGGTGGGAAACGTAAAGAGGAAGCCCTCAACTATCTTTTTATCTCTCACACCTAAATGAACACATAACTCTGAATGACGAAGTCCGTCGCATAGCAGCTGCTGACCAGACACGCGCATCTAACACAAGAAGTGATGCCAGGTGGCAGCAGTAAGAGTGGAGGGCGGGGTCCATCCTCGTCACCCCTTCCCCACGGCGCCGTCCCGCCCAGCAGACCCCTGCGACCCTCCCGCTATGTCCCGGTGTCGGCGGCCACTTTCTTCCTTGTTGGCTCCACCACGCTCTTCTTCTGCTTCACGTAAGTGGCAAACGTGCATCGTCTCGCGCACACACAGGCCTGTTCAGGGTCTCTCACATTGTACATAGAGATTTGAGAGAGAATACTGATAAATGCCTCGATGGCGGCTCGGCCACTGTTGTGTGTTCAGCTTGTTACACCGCTCCCGAGTGGCAGACAGCTTGAAGTTTAAACCAGGCTTGTTCACTATAAGCTGGATCATTTTGAGGCTATACAGTAACATTTCATGTGTGCAGGAGAGCCAGGGCTGTTTATCCTGGGATAACATTTGCAAAACAAATGTACTTAAGACCGATGGCACCAGAAAACATTTTCTGTTTTTGTCGTTTGAACATTAAGTGTAAGATGTGTGAAATGTTGCATTTCTATACTCTTTTTGTCAAAGGTCATCAGATTAAAATGAATTACTATACAGCTACAGTAAAGATGTCCAGTCATTATTACAATTATATAATCAGCACTGAAGTAATTATATTAGAGCTGATCATGGTTTGGACACTTCATTCATGTTGTTCAGATAACAAGAACTAATCAAAGCTGGAGCAGTGTTTGAAGATCCCACTTAGTTGGATGAGGTTTAACAGGTAGTTGGATAAGATTAGTAGGTTATTAATAGTAGGGCTGGGCAAGAAAGCAAAAATGATAATTATCGCAATATAATTTTCCTCAATAACAATATAACAAATGTTCAATGTATCGTCAATAAATATTTGCTTTAGTAATATTTGAATCACAAACAAATTAGCACCTAATTTGTCTTTTAAAATATTTATTTTGTTGAAAAAGATAATGGTTTTAAATGTTCTAACTCAGACTTGTGAAGTGATCCACTGTTTGGCATAAAGAAAAGTTTAACCACATAATTTAACCATCTGGTTTCTTGAATTTTTATTTAGGAGCAAAAATCCACCTTAAAACTACTGATTTAAAAGAGATTGTGATAATTATCGATATGAAATGTTTTTAGCGTGATAACATTTTTGGCCGTATCGCCCAGCCCTAATTAATAGTTTTGGGTTTTTTTGCCTCATCGATAGCGAGAATAGAGAGATGTGGAACAAATGTTCACCCAGGACAGAACAGATTTAACCATGCTGTGCTGCAGACTGGAACCAGTCTGGACTGTGTTGTTGTCCGTCAACAAAAAGAGCTTGAGTATGAATGCAGAACTTGGACTGAACTAAGGTAGTTTTCACATGTAAACGGCCTCAGTGTGGCCGTCAGCCCTGCACAGTGACAGGATGCGAAGTCAGTGTTGTTTTGCTAATTTCGCTGACTGTGTGTGGTAAATGTGGTGGGGTGTCGGCTCTTGTGCTTCAGATTAGGGAGATAAAATAGGCCAACATCTGTCACCCTGACAAAAGCTCATCATCCAGTCTCTTACCGTTTCTTTCTGTCAGTCAGTGTTTGCATTGCTGCACTTCCTATTATTTTTTCTTACTAGTCAGTGAATGCAACGCTTTCTTTCTGAAAAACTAGGGAATAACACAAAAATCCTAAAGTATGCATATATTTTATGTTTGCTTGTTGTTTTAAATAATTGGAACTTAATTTTTTGCTATGTGTATATAGTGAAATATCAAAACAACCTAGCAACAACTACATATCGGCACACAGCGTGAGCCATGCCAGGTTTATTTTCACACACACATTTTCTGCAAAAACCCTTAGTTGGTAATTGGAAGTGGAAGCTGCGTCAAGCAGCACAGAGCAGGGCGAGTTCACTCTCCAAACGTTTTGCGCTGGTTAGCAACATGTTCGGATTGAACGACATGTTTCCTTGCAACGTTCTGCAGCGGGCTTCGAGGTGTGTTTTCTCCCGATTGGTGGGCGCGTCTCAGGTGTTGCCCAATCAGCTGCGACAAGTTTGTAAACACAACGGTGTTAAAAATGCAGGAAAATTCAGTGTGCTTGCGTTCACAGCAGGGTGTTCAGGGAACCACAGTTTCCGTTGAAAAAAATGTTTTGCTACGTTTTGTCGGCGCTGAACTCGCCCCAGATGAACCAGACAGGAAGTCAGACACAGAACGGCTAAGAGAATCTGGTAGATTTTCAAAATAAAACACCCTTTGCAGACTCCCGATCGTACATCAACAATAAATGCAATTAAAACAGACTGCAAAGAAACAGTTTAACTACGTAGCTACTTAACCATAGTTGAAACGCAAAAATCAAGGACAACTGAACAAATACGCAAAATCAGACTCCATGTAGGATATGTAGCCCGCACAGAGCGGAGCGGGCTCACAGAAAGATGTTCTCCGTAGTTGAAGCACACAAAATGACAAATTAACAACATGTAGGCTGAACTCTCTGCTGCTGAAACACTTAAACCGCGGCCTGTGTCGGTTCTGCTGGCGCCATCATCCCACGTTTTCCTCTTGTGTCGCTTGTTGTTGTAAAATGTACACGCCCTGTGCCCGCTCTGATTGGTGAGTGGGACCGTAACAGGAGGCGCACGGCGCTTTTGGTTGTAAATGTAAATGCTCCGTACTTGTATAGCGCCTTTCTAGTCTTTTCGACCACTCAAAGCACTTTTACACTACATCTGCATTCACCAGTCACACACATTCATACACTGAGCCTAAGTGCTCAAACGGAAACTAGCATTCACACACATTCATACGCTGGCGGAACAGCCGCCAGGGGCAATTCGGGGTTCAGTATCTTGCCCAAGGACACTTCGACACGCAACCAGGGGGAGCCAGGGATTGAACCGCCGACCCTCCGATTAACGGCCAACCCGCTCTACCTCCTGAGCCACAGCCGCCCAAGTCGCCCATTGGCGAGCAGATCTGTCACACTAGGATGACAACGGAATGAATCTGTAACAGCACGACTGTTTAAAACGGGTCAGATGCGCTGTATAGTTAAACTACATTTTAATCGCCGTCTTCACGGTCAGCCCATTGCGTTCTTTTATATCGCAATTTCGATATGAAAACGATTTATCGTTCAGCCCTACTGCTGAAAATAAAAAAGTGCACATTTCCCCCTGTAGGAGTCATGTCTGTTAAAGCTGTTAGGATATTTTAGGCAACAGTTAAGTAGGAACCAAGCGCCACAGACCGGTTGGAGAGTGAGACGATTGAGAGGCCGACTAACACATTGATGGTTTTGGTCTTTTTATGACGATAACACAAAGAGAAAACTTCCAGCCTTATCATTCAAAGTGCTTGACCAATGATTCAGCTCACTTTGAATCATCCTACACTTTTACAGGTTTGAGCCTACTGACATGTTGTGAGAACAACTCCAACTCGAAATCCAGGCTCATGTGAAATTATCAAACCAACTCCTGCTTATCCGTAGGGGTGGGAATCCCCAGAGGCCCCACGATACGATACAATCGCAATACTTATATTGATATTACTGCAATTTTATACACATTGCGATGTATTGGAATTTATTACTTTTTTCCAACTTAAATTGTGAAAAACTCTTTTTCTAGCGGGCTGAAAAAGCAATTGATTCTATTATTATTGTACCGAAAAGGTAAAATTCTTATGTACATTTTATGTAATAATAGATCGATACTTGGCGTCCGTGTGTCGCAATACTATGCTGTATCGATTATTTTTTTTTTCCTCCCACCTCCACATGTGTTCTAACAGATTCTAATAATTAATATAACCAGCCTGTCTCAGGCTCTTGTTTTATTTACAGTGATGAGAATTATAAATCTGTCAAAAGACCAACAAGTGGCAACTTCACTGTTATTACAACTGAACCTTATAATGTGACAGAAGTTTGATGTTTTCCCTCAGAGGCACCGTCTTCTCTTTTCATGTTTAAGGTGTCCGTGGCTTTCAGAGCGTTTCTCAGTGGCTGTGCCCATCTACAATGGAGTCATCTTCCTGTTTGTTTTGGCTAACTTCTGTATGGCCACATTCATGGACCCCGGCATCTTCCCGAGAGGTGAGTGCGTCGACGGTTTTAATGTTTTGTGTGTGTGTGATGTTTTGTTTCCAAATAGGCCACTAAATAATGTCTGCTGGATGTTTTTATATTGCTGTTTTTGTCAAATGGGGGAAAAAAAGTGTTCAAAGTGGGCTTCACCATTAATCTAACCGCAGCGTTAAAGACTACAACCTACCATAAGAGAGTGAGATGATTAAGAGACCGACTAACACATGACCCGGTCCGGCCGCTCAGAGACGGAGATACGTCGTCGGCAGCTGAGGCGGTCAGACAGAAGAAAACAGGGTTTGACTAGCCGGCCGTTTAATGTTAGCTGTGTAAGTGCCTTTTGGTGTTCAACATGTTTAACTTGTCAGTGCCAATCACAGCCTGGATGGGGCGGGACAAACAAACAGCAAGTTTGACGTAGGCCTCCTACACTACAGCAGACTTTCAAATGTTGAACTCTATGATCGACAAGTTAGTACGTTGTATTAACAAAAATTAGAGACCTTTTTCTTGCACAAGGATTATATGAATAATAGAGCAAGTACTAAGTACTGTTTTAAAACGATCTACCCCCCTTCCTTAAAGGGGAAATGAAACATCCATGTTTTGGCAGTGGTAGTAACTACATATTTAAAAAAATCACCTTGCATTAAAATTTATTTTAAAAAGTTGTTAAAACCACAGATATGACAAAATTATTAAAACGGTGGCGATGGTGAATTCGGGATAACTTTTTTTGAGGAATTTCAGCTGTTATGTTGATACATCAGATAAATCATATGCTGCTATGGAAAGATTTAGGCTAGGGAACTGGGTTGGGAGGTGTAACGTGTTTATGAATGCTGCTGTTTGGACCGAGAGAGACGCTCATGATGATCAGCTACGTTTCTATAATAGATGTTGCTGAATATTTATTTTGCTGTGGGGATCTTTGATGCTGACTTCTGTGGGTCGCTGAATGCCCTACCTGTCTCTTCCCTGCCTGGCTGGTGCGTTTTAGCGCCCTTTCCCTACGGCGGACTGATGCCTCTGTCCCGCTGTTGTCAGAGTATGTTATAGAGCACACATTATAGGCAGGGAAAACAGACGGAGCAACTTCAGGCTTTAGTCTGTTGGTCCGGCAAACAACTAGTTTACCAAACTCTAAGGTCTTCTCCTCAATGTAATCCTCCTCCAGAAAATGTTCACTGCAGTCACTGGAGTCAGCGGCCATCGGAGGGCGCTCTCTCTTCAGAGCCGTTAGCCAGCGCAGCAGTACAGTTTCCCGTTTCAGCGACAGTTTATCAAAATGGACTGTTTTGTCCTTGGCTTTGACCCTGTAAAACTCGTTTTTACATCCAGGAGCAGTACAATAGTGGCCTCCCTTTTGTTTTCTCCTGTGCTGTGGCTCCTCAGTCTCCATCTTCCACTAAGCTACCGGTCTTTCACTAACTTAACCTCTTTCTTTCGCTGTCTCTGTCGTTCACTGAGCTTTTACTGAACTCAGCCCAGAGCCTTTAAAGCCAACCAACCCCGTGACGTCACAGGTTATAGTAGTGCACAATGGTGGCGCAAAAAATATAACGGTGTTTCTTTTTTCTTTTATATATTTACATTAGTCATGTTTCTTATATGATTATTGATTAGAGTGGAAATCCATCTTGTAAATCATGTAAACTTGACTGAATGCTTCATTTCCCCTTTAAGAGTTATGTTTTAAAAGCTGCTTTCTTTTTACATGTTTATTTACAGCATTATGTGTTGATATTTAAATCATAATAGGCTGTATATTAACTTATTTATATATATATATTAACTTAACGTATTTTTCTCTGGGCTGGAACTTTTGAACTTGATGGCGCAATTTGTTATTAAAGTAAAAAACTTTATTGTATGTCTCATTATACAAAAACGCTTTCTTTTTTCTGCAAAGTAACCTGAGTTTTGGGGGCCTAAACATATTTGAAAACTCACCAAACTTTGCTCATAATTCAGACGCGGTGAAAAATCTTGTATTTTATGGGTTTTGCAAAATGGTTCTTTCCCGCCCCCTACAGAGCAGCCCCAGGACAAAGTTTCACCTACGGGTACGAAATTTCTGTGGTACGTGTATCATGTCCAGAAGCACAAAAAAGGCTCTTGGAGCCATTGCCTAAACCAAACAGGAAGTCGGCCATTTTGGATTTAATGGTCATTTTTGGCAATTTACACACTTTGTACTTTAACGAACTCCTCCGAGGAATGTACTGTAATGTACCACTCCGAACAGGTTGGCCAAATGAACTTCAAAACTGTCCCAGGACACCCTTAACACATTGATGAGGCCATGTTGTAAAACTTGTGAATTTTCGGTTAACGGCGTGGCGGCGAAGTGCCATGCTTTTCGTCAGTGGGCGTGACTGTGTCCTTGTTAATAAACTGTGTTACTTGAATATTTTTCACTGTGCTCCTAAATTTCTTTGTGGAACGTACTCCTTGGGGAAAAGAGTAAGCGTTGAGCCCTGCTACAGGAAGTCATTCCTTCCCACTGCAATAAAAATATACGACGACTCCCCTCTGTGCAGGGAGAGGAGATTTATTTGTTCTCAATGACCATGCACATTCTAAACTCGTTTACACAGATAAAGTCAGAGAGACTCATCTTTAAGGGCTCTATGTAATTTTCCCAAATGAAATCACTTCTTAATAAATCAAATTTTTACTTCCTTTTTCTTCAATGGCTCTAACCTCCATTTAGAATTGAAGCTCACGGCTGTTTTCTCTGTTGCTTGCATCAGGCCAGTATTCTGCTGCTTTTGTCTGCTGCTTTTGTGAAGACACTGTGTCGGGATGCAGCCCCGTGTGTGCGCTCTCTCCCACTACAGCGACAGCAGCGCAGCTAACAATATGCGGCCCTCTAACACCATGAAACTACCGGCTCACAACACAGACTCCAACATAAACTCAACACAAGGATGCAAGACAGTAAAGGTTTATGTGCTGAAGCCTGCCAGACCAAACGAGAATCAGATGATGTCAACTGAAAACACAGTGAACATTAGAAAGTCACAGAGAGTAAAGTTAGCTCGCCGGCGAACGCGACTCATATTACTAGCCTGCAAGAAATTATGTAATGGTAAAAAGCAAATGTGGAGCGATTTGTTTACTAGCCTAAAGTGATGCAGGGCAGGCAGCTAACGCTACATTAGCTTAGTTTGCATTTAATGTAGATTTATTGTGGTTTTAAGCGATGCTCAGGTAGCCGGTGTTTATGTCTAAGCCGGGAATTCTGAAGTAACAGAGCCTGAACATGTCTGAACAAAGGCTTTATTATAATTTCTCTAAATATTATTTCTTAAAAAAACTTTTTTTTAGTTTTTTTTAAGCGAAGTATGTATAAAAAATCTTTCAAAAATAAATAGAAGGATGCGCAGATGAGATTCTCCACCCAGATGCATTTATTTCCCTCCACCATTATAGATAAGCAATTGTAGATTGTATGATAACTGTCACTTTTCATCCCATGAAACCTGTATATCCGCTGCTAACCAATCTAGACTAGCAGAAAACATGGTGCAAGCAGGATGTTGATTTCCTGCAGTATGTACAAAAACAGAAACGCTCTTTATTGTTGAGGCGTGTTCATGTGTGTGTGTTTTCTGCTCCCATCTCTGCAGCCGAGGAGGACGAGGACAAAGAGGATGACTTCCGTGCTCCCCTCTACAAGACCGTGGAGATCAGAGGGATCCAGGTCAGGATGAAGTGGTGTTCAACCTGCCGCTTTTACCGGCCACCGCGGTGCTCCCATTGCTCCGTCTGTGACAACTGTGTCGAGGTGTGTCACGCTTTCACCATTTACATATAATACAGACATTATTCATGTACACGCTCTCTAAATAAATTATGTTTCAAAGTTCCCTAATACGGCTGCAACATGCACACTTATCAAAAAGCTCAAATACAACCACCAGCAGCACTTTAGATGCATTATACACCCATAAAATGTTTCTGTAATGGACGCCAAGAGACTTTGTATTCTCCCGACTCACATGAAGGTATACATTGGTGTGACAGCAGGCATACCCAAAATGCACTGGGTTCATGTCAAAGCCGCAGTAGTCCCCCCCCCCCCCCCAAAAAAAACGTTATTCCCCTCTGTTTGTCATCATGCCATTTAGGGATCACACAAAAACAAGATGTTTCTTTTCCCTTCAGCATTTATATATATATATATATATATATATCAACTTTCAGACAGCTGAGACTTAACTGAGTTTAGTAATCCACCGCTGTGGACGTGATGTCTGCTCTTATTGTTGTGAGATTTGTTTAATGGTTGCAGGATAACACAGTCAAAAGTGAACTTTGACTGGGAAAAAGCCCACGCTGTCAAAAAGAAAAAAGAAAAGCTAATGCTACAGTCACCATCTATAACAAAGAAGACAAATCCAAAACAGCTAGACAAGGTTGTGTCTTACCTCCGTTCACAAAGCCTCATTACTATGGAAGTAGCGATAAGCCTCAGAGCTTGGTAGCTGATCATCGCAGACCATTCACCGGCTAAAATGACAAAGAACACTGGCAGAAGATCAAAGCAATTGTTCATTAATGTGAGCAAAGGCGCAGATCTCATGACAACTTCAGGGGGACCACAAACCTGGAATTTTATCAAGACTGGTAGGATTAATTTAACGCTAGCTAACAAGCTAGTTAAACTGAGTAGTTGGGAACCTCTGTTATGTATCTGGCTGGGGAGAAGTTAATTTACTTAAGGTGGAAAGATTTTAAACCTTTTTATTCTGTTGATGGGTGGATATAATCTTTTTGTTTGAAGAAAATGACTAATAATTGTGGGGCTCTCTCGGACCGAACGGATCAAATTGTGATAGTAAAAAGTTATTTTTTGGGGGTTGTGATGCAAAAAGAAATTGGGAAAATGGTTTGGCCACTAGTAAAATTAGTAAAACTTCCAGGGGGCTTGGAGAATGTGCGATGCTACCAAGCCGACCAAGAACAATTCTAGCATCACTGCGACCTATAGGTATATTTTTGGGCAAGGTGCGTGTTAATGCGCGGCGTAGGATATGTAGCTAGGCATAGGCTTTCAGATTCGATGCAAAAGTTTAAATTGGCTTTTACAGGGCCTCTGTCACAGGACGCAGTTCACGTACTACAGAGATGGAATCTGGGAAACCTACTACAAAGGTACCAGAATGAAGTTAACCCTCAGCTTCATTCACCAAATTCCCACTTTAGTTCCCACTAACTGTTCAGACCACAAAGGGGGGGGACATGAACTAGACCAACCAGAAAGTGTCCTTCATGTGGAAATGAATTTGAAACTGGTCAATTAAATATATATTTTCAATGACATATTTATTAATAATTCATTTGAGAGGCAACTTCATGTTTTTCAGAAGTAAATGCTGTGTCAGTGTTGGACGGTGCAGACGTATGCCGTTCACTGTACTAGTTTTCTTACCACAGTGTCTTTTAACTCTCATTACGTAGGACTTCGACCACCACTGTCCGTGGGTGAACAACTGCATCGGCAGGAGGAACTACCGCTACTTCTTCCTCTTCCTCCTGTCCCTGACAGCTCACATCATGGCTGTGTTTGGCTTTGGCCTGCTCTTTATCCTCTACCATCGCCAGAACATCGACCGCCTGCACGCCATCGTCACGTATCCTTTATGGACCTGGCCCGTGTATATTTTTGTCCTCTCCGATACCGTTCAGTTACAGTGTTGTCCTGCTCAGCAATGACTGAAGTTTTTTCCTTCGCACAAGTTGTATCAGATTTCCTGAGGATTATTTTCAGTATCGCGTGGGAGGATTTCACTCCCTTTGATAGCACATTGAGTTTTTTGTGCTAAGTACTGTTGGCACATCAAAGTATTTTAATTACTAGAAAATATGGCAATGTCAGGCTGTGATGATTTGACTGGGCAACAGATTTCCATGATGAATTCTAATTATTTGGTGACTCTTGCTTGTCTAACACCACCACCAGGCCAAGCTGTCCATTTATACACAAGGAATATTGAAACCTTACGGGCGTATTGCCGTGAAGTCTATCAAAATATTATGCTTTCAGAGAGGGACTTACCATTTTCCATGTATCTCTTGAATCTTAGTTTCTTAAGATTCTCCTTGACCTGTGCTGTCAGGCTGGCTGTAATGTGTGTCGCAGGCCTGTTCTTCATCCCTGTTGCTGGCCTCACTGGTTTCCACATTGTGCTTGTGGCCAGAGGCAGGACTACCAATGAACAGGTAGGAAAACTCAGTGTGTACCAGTGACAGGTAAGAGTGTCCCAGAAATCCTGTAGTTGATATTTGAAAATGTACAGTGATGTACATTTAGATTAAGTATCCATGCCTTAAATTATATTAAAGTGGTCATATTCTGCTCATTTTCAGGTTCATAATCTTATTTAGGGGTTGTACCAGAACAGGTTTACATGGTTTCTTTTTCAAAAAACACCATATTTTTGTCATACTGCACATTGCTGCAGCTCCTCTTTTCAGCCTGTGTTGAAGGCTTCGTTTTAGCTATGGAGTGATACATCTGGTCTCTAAATGATCTTTGTTGGGAGTTGCACATGCTCAGTTCCTTGTTAAGGACTACTAGCCAATCAGAAGCAGAGTAGGGCGGGTCAGCGAGAAGCCGGTAAACAGCTCGGGTTCAGCCGTACGTGTTGCCGACCGGCTCGGCAACATGGACTGGAGCGAGAGTTTCAGAGCGGTGAGTTATTAATCTGTATCCATAAAGTTTTAACTGAGCTCTGTCTCTACATCACAGGAACAACTTTATGTCCACTGACTACCTGGAGGGTAGCTGGTGTTTGGAAGGGAGAGGAGAGCTGTGTGCTGCAGCTCGCTGTTTCTGAGGGCGTGTCGGAGTCGCCGCTTGGCGAGCGTTATATGAGGCGCGTTTAGCTTTCATCCCTGTGACGTCACAAGGATGAAAGGGAAGCGGCTGGACTACAAACGAGCTGTTTTCAGTTCAGAGCAGAGTTTTCTGTGGGAAATGGGTTTTTTCACTTTGCAAAGGGATATAACTCAATAATAATAATATAATAAGCATATTATGACCTCCTAAAATCTTGAAAATTTAACAAACTTTGATATTGCTCTCATCTTTTGAATGAATGTTTGTACATCTTAATGCTTGTTTTTCTGTGTAACTCTGTCTCTCTCTCTGTTCTGTCTCCTTTTGTCTTCCCCCAGGTGACAGGGAAGTTCAGAGGAGGTGTTAACCCCTTCACCAATGGCTGTTGGAAGAATGTCTCTCATGTCCTCTGCAGCTCACTAGCACCCAGGTGCATTTTTTTAACTTCTAATTTAACTACTGCTCTCTCAGAATGGCTGATCATAAGCATAACATAACCTGACAAAAGCACGTCTCTATCCATAATCCAGACACAGCACCAGACATTTCTGACTTCGTCAGTGTGCGCTGTACAGCCACACAGACAAAACATCCAAAGCCCATCAGAGAAAATGAGAATGATCGGAGTATTTAGGTCTTTATCTTACACCTGCCCTGAAGATATGCAGCATGTTCCAGAGTTCAGCTAGTGCCTCACCGCGTACAAAATAAAGCTTGTAACAACAGTGTGCTTGTCGTGGTTGATCTTTATCATGTGTCTGTGCTCTTTAAAGGTATCTGGGCAGAAAGAAGTGTGTGCAGAGTGTGTGTGTGCAGCCTCCGTTTCTGCGGCCACAGCTGACGGAGGCCCAGCTGGCTGCAAAGATCCTGGACAACGGCATTCAGGGAGAACTGCACAGGGTGAGAACAGCTGGATGTGTGTGCCATAAAAACTGCTGTGTCATCATCCTGGCTTTGGGTAGCGGCTGATGCCGAATACTGATGCGTTTACCGGTGTGAAATGAGTATGTTGTGTTCCTCGCTGCGAGGAAGAGACTGGGAACCGTTCTTTCGCAGCATCAGGCTTGACAAGAGGTGAAATGCCTCCACACTGATAACCCCTTGTTTTTAGCTCTCTCCACGCTTTGTTAGCTCTCCTAGCAAAATGTTTGGGTCTACTGGTGCCCCTTGTCACAGATACCCAGTCCAGCCATTGATATCGGTATCGGATCAGTGCAGCCCTACTTTAGATCAGAACATTGGATTTGAAATTGATCATCTTATAGCAGGGCTGCACGATTTCACCTAAAATCAAAATCACGATTTATTGAACATTTTACCTCGATTACGATTATTTTGTTTTTAATGTTGGGTTTTTTGCCCTCATAGTTCACTGACAAGGTTCGTACTGTAAATATGTTCAATTATTAAAGCTGGGATTCATTTATTTTTTTTGATTCACAGATTTAAAAAAATCCATTATCTAAATGTTAATTGATAAGGTGATGTTGACGTCCGAATGATGGAGACACGGTTCCCCCATATTGCTTTGCTAGCTTCCTCTCCTCATTCATCAAAGGACATGTAAGCTATGTGACAGCTGCTGTTATAAGAGCGGTGGAGTTAACGTCAGGTCTTTTAAGGAGCGCCGTGTGTGTTCGTAGCGAGCGAGTGGTGGAGCGAAAGAGGTGAGAGCGAGCGGGCAGAAAGTGACGGAAAAAGCAAGCGAGTTTGTAAAATGGATGTCTGACCGCCAACTGCTGGAAAGTGAAGCGCCAGCTGACTCCGGTCTGGAAGCTGAGCAGGACTGGACGTGGCGGAGTCACATGACCACACACACACACACACACACACACACACTAGTATGTTTTTAAGGGGAAAGTACATGAACACACACTGTAGGGAAAATATTTATAAATAACCGACATGGTAAAGTTACGTCGGTTAGAGGCTCTGAAGTTTTGTTTTGAATACTTTTCAATTAATGGTCCAGTACATAGTTTTAATGGCATTTTATTTATGGTAAATGGTGGTACTTTCTAGTCGTCCGACCACTCGGAGCGCTTTTCTGCCGCTGATAGTGGAAGCTAAGGTGCCAACTCCTAATCAGAAATTAACATTCATACACCGATGGAACAGCCATCGGAAGCAGTTTTGGTTTTACCCAAGGACACTTGGATGCAGACTGCCGATCTTCTGATTAGTGGGCAAACTGCTCTCCCACCTGAGCCACAGCCGCCCCAAGTTCATTGCAGAAATATTGCAGGAAATGGGCAAAATTGCAAGCTATAATATATTTTGCAGCATTTGTATAAATAGGCTTGACCGCAAAACGAAAACAAAACAAAAACAACTCGACCACAGTAACATTGAATGTACAGAACAGGGCGCGGAGGGAAAAGATGTCAGGGTTTTTCCTCCTCGCTGCCTCTTCCCTGCAACATTAGCTGCCGCTGGCTGATAAATGTTATCAGTATTTCTTGTTTGTCCTTCATCGTCCACCATCAATCCGTCGGTTTATCAACCACATCACAAACATTGGGCTTTCTAAAGAAACTTCAGAATTACCGTGACATTTTACTAGAGCTGTGTACAGGGTGTCCGCAGGGTCTTAAAGTCTTAGAAGGTGATAAATTAATATTGTGAAAATTAAGGCCAGTAAAAAGTCTTAATCGCCTTTTAACAAGGTATTAAATTTTTGAAGATCTTTTTTTCAACGTGAAAATCCTGTTTGTCCAAAGAGTTTGTTTGCTAAAAGTGTAGGTGAACGAATTTATTCATAATGCATAGCCAAAAACACTAGACAGGCAGTGAGTAGCAACTGTGATTTGTCTCGATTCGTAACGTTAGTTACACTCTTTTCACTCTTAAACGCGCTCCTAAAAATAGATCCGTGTAAACCGGAAAATGATTTACGAATACAACCGACAGTAATCTCCCACCCCGCCGGACCCTCAATGCTAATCGCCCAAAACGTAGTCGGAGTGGCGATCAGGAGTGACGGGATTAACCCGGGTGGCCGGTCGCTCTGCGGACGCCTGAACAGCCCCGTTCCTGAAAAACAAAGTTAATGAATAAAAAAACAAGCCCAAACTGAAACGGCTGTAATTTGAATTAATATTATACTAGTGGTAAGTTATATTCTATTATATTGAATATAGTAACATAATATCAAACTTATAGTTTACTATTAAATTACCAATATACTTTTAAATTTAATGTTATAATATTATACTAATCCAGTCATTTAGACGTGTTCCTGTGCTGCAGCGCCTGCACTACTTACGTTATTCATCACTCAGTTTATTCTCCTCATCTTTGTTCCCTCCTGGCCTCTTTGAATTTTGTTGTATTGATCAAGTGGTCGATCAAAGTTGCTGGCTGATTTTAATCGGTTACAGTTGAAAAGGTCTTAAAAAGGTTTAGAATTTTACTTCAGGTTTCCTTTATATACCCTGTATGTAGTGATGTAGTCTACCAGTGTGAAGCTAACGTTGGACAACGAGGTCATACGCGAGTTTGAAGACGAGACTACTAGACAACAGCCAATTAATATGCAAACTCACCACCAACTGGCAGGTGAATGTACTACAGGTTAATCTGAAGGTCGGCGGTTCAATCGCTCCAGGCTGCATGTCGAAGTGGGCAAGATACTGAACCACATTCGGCCAGCGTATGAATGTGTGCGAAAGTGTAAAAGCGCTTTGAGTGGTCGAATACAAATACGGAGCGTTTACACGTCAATGCGTCTCCACTCATTGCGTTTCTGTCACTGTGTCTCAGTCGACTGAATGTCACACTTTGACTTCCTGTCTGAGATTCTCATCTGTCTTTTCTCTTCTTTCCAGTCCAAGTCCAGTCTGGAGATGATGGAGAGCCAGTCATGTGACGCTGAGCCTCCTCCCCCTCCTAAACCAGAGCTCCGCTACCCTGGGATCTCCAGAGGAAACACGGAGGGTAATGTTTCTTAACTGCTCTGCCTGTAACAACTCAACATCTTATTCCATGTTGATTTCACACTTTTTATTCTTTCTCTTCCTGCAGAGTGCAGTCTACTGAACAAAGCCCCTCCCACCCCCACCATGTACAAATACAGGCCCACCTACAGCCCTGGCAAGAACCACACAGCGCTCACACATGCTTATGCCAACCAGGTAATGCATAAACACACAGACGGGTGTTACACCAGGGGTCGGCGCTACAAAGCAAGTTCAGCATCCCCAGGATATCTTTCCATTATCTGGCTTCACCTACAATCGAGCAGACGGTTACCAACTCTGTAAATCGACACGGGGTTTCCCAAAGCGGTCATGAGACGGTTCCCGTTAAAGGGCTCGTGTTATCAGCAGAGACCAATCACAACACGGACAGATCTGCTAGCGGCAGAGCGTCCTATTTTACAAACGAAGATAGAAAGAAGTGAAACACGTAATCCGGCTGAAAGCGACCCAGCAGCAGGGAAACATCCCCCCCCCCCCGTGTGAATGTGGACGTTAACAGGCTGATAATTTCAGCGCCCCTCGTCAGAGCAGGAGGTCTGTTTCAGCTGTAGAGGCTGTGTGTCGATACCACGGGGGAAAACTCACACAACACTGATTAAATTACTGAATATAATTACTCAAATGTCTGATTAACGTCTTCTTATCTTACGAAGATATAATATTTATAATATTTACGTGTTTCCTGTTAAAACACAAAGCTAGGGAGGGACTTTTCGCAAATATTGATTGAGCCCAGTTTGACGAGACGGTATACAGTACCGAAGCGGTTTTCATGCCGGGTTCAAGGACTGGAGTCAGCTAATATGAGCGCTAGCAGCCCGAGCTAGCTGGCTAGTTAGCAGCATTTAATGCTTTAGCAAAAACTAAACTTCTCTGTCCATCCTGAAGCTCTGCGACGTTAAATCCCCTCGGCACTCTGTTCCCTGCCGGTCTTTTGAGGCTGTGTTCAGCTCCGGCGCCGCTAACGTTACCCGCCATCACTCCCTGCTGGGAAATCTAAAAACACATTCAAAGTCTGTGGGATCCTCCACAGAAGTGATGCCATTTTCCGAGAGAGCTGATTGGTCACTAGGCGGTGCTTTTTACAGCGTTGATCTCGAACAGCCTGCTTACTAGTACCGGCCTCTCGATACTAACACACAGTGTGGACGGTCAGTGTCTGAGTTTACATCACAAGGGGGGATCAGCGTGGGTGTGTTTTCCATCTGTGCTTCTTTTATCTCTTTGATTTCAGTCTAATGCATCTTCGTTTTTGTTTTTCCTTTTGATTTCCTGTCGGCCATCTCGGTTTGGTTTCTCAGTGGCTTTCTGTTGATCAGTATCAGTAAGTGATTGTTCTAAAAGCATTTCCTCCCCCCCCCCCTCCCCTCTTACCTTAACTTTGTTTCCTGCCTCTGTTGCTCTGGATGTGGGTGAAATACTGTCAGTGACTCATCGGTCAGTAAAACAGGTGTGCCTGAATAGAGGTGGACTGATGCAGATAAATTGGTTCTACTCAGTATTTGTACCCATGTCTGGTCAACATCCACCCACATGTCACTCTAGCACTCTGTGTTACTGTTGTTTTGGTTCTCCTTCATTTCTCTTTAGTTTATTGTTCCAGCTCTCACTTCTTTATTAGTTTCCTTGTCACTTTTCTTCCCCTCCCTGGTAGGAAATGTCGCCTGTAGATTGTTTACGGAGTTTGTCAAAAGAATTTGTTCACATTAGGGCTGACCCCCAATAGTCGAAGGTTCTATGCTTCGATGGGCGGAGCCTAATTCGACTGTCAATCTCACAGTCGAAGCTTCATTGCGAAACGCGGATCACGCCATTTTGGCGATATGGGGGTGCTCAACGTCTGATTTTACAAAGAACCACCAGTTTTCTCCCAATAAGTTAATAAACAGCCTGTTGCAAGAAACATTTTATAGTTTAATGCTGTAAATAAACATGTAAAAAGAAAAAACTTTCGATAAATGTTTTTAGTGCGTGAATAAATCCTAAATTGGAACCCTAACCCCGGGTCGGCAGCGCGCATGTGTAGGCGTAGCGTGTGTGTGTGCAGCGGCAGGAGGAGCTCCAGCTTCACCAGTGTTGTGCCGAGTTGTTCGCACCTCGCGGGACTTTCGGAAAATTTATCACCGTTGATGAACCACACAAAGAATATTTTATTGTTTTTAAATAGCAGGTTACTTGAAATAGACCCGTGAGGAACGGCGGCGTGCATGCAGCTGTCGGCGTGCTCGCAAAACTCTGCACAAGACCGGCGAATGGCCTGCGAGAGAGAGAGAGAGAGCGAGCGAGCTTCAGTTTAGCTGGAAATTTACAGTGTAAGATGAATGAATAGAGACTGCAGCTCTGCAGGAGCTTCTCAAGATTAAAGTGGAGCTACCGCAGTTGAGGCGTCAGGATATCATCTCGACTGATGTGATTTTTTTAAGGGCCGACACCGATATCAAAACTTTATTTGCTTTTAAGCATATGTTTAATTAAATGCCGTGAAAGAGAACTTTTCAACCCAAGTGCAGGGAGAGATATGGTATATGACGTGACATAAAACATATAATACAAATGCTTTAGTTATCGCAGCGCAAATATGCTTCATTTATTACAGCAAAACGGCCTTTGAGTTGGTTTCAATGATGTTAATTACATGTGATAAAAGGGAACCTGTCATTCAGAACTAGGCTGCTTCATTAATAATGACAACTATATAGTAAAAGTGACTATTCAACTCACTGCAGTCCATATATATGGATTAAAACAGGCCTCGAATGCTGTTCCATAAAGTCTGACGTCTCTAACAAGAGTAATCCTGCATCTTGGTTAGTGATGTGCAACAATAACTTTATAGCCTATCAATGTTATTGCAGATCAGCTGTTTAAATTAGAGATCAGCAGATGAGCTTGTTGGCGATGGCTGCAGCACTCAAGTTTAGGAGAGGGTAACCAAGGCAACGGAGTTTCATTCACAACGGAGGCGAAAGTGAAGTCGACGTTACATTTGCTAAAGCTCCATTATTACCAACATGTAAAAACACCCACTCTTACAGGAAGGTCATTTTATATTTCCAGTACGGCAGCTAACACAAGTTCCAACTGTGTCACTGCAACAGAGGACCTGAATCTGGCTTCCAATCCCACAGGCTAGGACTTTAACGCCAGCAGTCGTTTTTCCCACCAGATTTGTGACAACTCTGACTTGACACACACTTTGCATTGCTTTGCATCAAGTCCTGCCCCTTACTGTGCCTCTGATTGGCTAATCCTATCCCTGACCCTCACCTACCTACCACGAACACGCAGTACACTGTGTGCTTCCTTGCTTAGTGTGTTAATTTTGACAGGGTAGTGTTGTCTCAAATCAAACACTGCTGTTGAGCACTAACCTGAACTGACCCCCCGTCACAGAGGCCGCCTGCGGAGCTCCAGTATAACAGCCAGGCCTGAAGAAAGTCTGGTTTGTTGTAATTTACTTTATTATAGAATTATATAAACTAAAAGCAAGTATTGTATCCACAACTGTACACTAACAATGTAACGTCTGATATAATAATATAATAATAATAAAGTAACTGCAGTCCCCTTTTCCCCCGCCGCCACTTGCGGCGCTCCTTAACTCTGAAAACGTTTAATCACATTTTTGTTCCGCCATCACTTCTCGTAAAACTGTCGATATTGGAAATCTACACAGCTGATTTGTCACCTCAGAACTTCTCAGAAGTGGATTTAGGGATGAAATAAAAATGTATGAAAACTGTAAAATATAAAACTTCCTGTTGCCTCTGTCGGGCGCACGCAACGATGATGATGCAGTTAATAGTGACGATTCTCTCTGACCAATCAGCAGCCTGCTGTGTTTTCACCTCACCTCTTAGTGTCGCCTCAGCTCGCTTGGATCCTCGACGGAGGTGATAGGAAAAAAAAAGTAGCAGGTACAGGTTCCACATGGGAAAACCAAACGGAGGCGAGGCGAGCTGGTGGCGTGCGGCGGCGGAGGGGCTTTACAAACAGCAGTGAGACTATTTCTAATAAATAGATGTATTATTCATAAACCCTGTATTGCCATCAAGAAAAACAAAAGTAGGATTTATTTTATGTCAGGAACATGCTGTGTGGGCGGGGCATGGAGCAGTACATCACATGACAGGGAGGCGGCTGCGTCCTAGTCAGAGTATCTGTTCCTACGTACTGCTCTACTCTTCTCTGCTCAGCTTCTTGTTGTCTCTCTTCCCTCCTTCTGCCCCTCTGTCCTTCACCTTCCCTCCTCTTTCTCCTCCTGCTTCCTCCAGTTAAGTCGAGGGGAGAGTGTCGGCAGTGCCAGGGACTCCTCCTCCTCCACCTCCTCCCTCCTCCAGGCCAGCCAGCAGCCCGGTTTCCGCTCGCAGCCCAGCCTGGATAGGAGGGACACGTCAGCTGACAGAGGAGGGGGGGAGAGGAGGGAGGGAGGAAGAGAGGCGGGAGGAGGGGGCATCCCCGGCTACTCGCTTGGCGGACGCTCGTATCCCTCCTTCTCCGACCCCACCGTCCTATCGGGAGTGGCGTCGCGATCTTCCAGCTCCACGCACACCTCAGCGGGCGCCGCCCAAGTCTCCGAGGCTACCACCACCTCGACCAGCTTCAAGAGCTTAGCCAATCAGACGCCCCCGCCTCATCACCCGTCCCGCAACGGGAGCCTGTCGTACGACAGCTTACTGGCAGGCGGTGACGATTTCGACAAAGGAGTGGTGGCGGGTTCGGCGGCCCCTGAGGTTTCCTCTGGGAGACCCTGCACGCCGGCAGCAGGCGGCTACAGCTCCCCCTTTCTGTTGTCACAACAGAGAATTGCTGAGATGCACTCCCAGTCCTCCCAGTCCTCCCAGTCGCCCCTTCACCACCACCGCTCCTCCCACCACCACCACCACCACCACCACCCCCACCCCTTCCTCCATCGCTCCTCTTCCTCCACATCCTCCTCCCCGCCGCCTCCTCCAGAGAGGGAGCGACTGCTGGGCGAGCCCCACGCCGGCGTTCTCCCCCCGCCTGCCAATCAGGCCTCGGTCCCCCCCCCCTCCTCGGCCCCGCCTCCCCCACACCATCACCACCACCACCACCACCACCACTCCCATCACCACCACCACTCCTCCTCCTCTTCCTCTACTTCCCGCCCTCCCCGCTTCGCTGCCCCTCACGCACCACCCCACCACGCTTATCCCTTCCGCACCCGCTCCACTGACACCCCTCTGGGCTCCTCCTCCACGACCCACCCACCCCGCTCCCCGCACCCTCCACCTCTGGGAAAGTCGCTCTCTTATTCGAGCGCCGCCGCCGCTGAAATGCAGTATCGGCTGGTCCGAAAGGCGTCTGCGTCAGCTGGAGCGAACGCGGCGGGGGTAGGAGGAGGAGGAGAAAGTGGAGGAATGGGAGGAGGAGGAGGAGGAATACAAGCGCCGAAGTGAGTATGAGTTTCGCCTTTTGTCGGGACGATTGGTTTGCTGCTAACCCTGAAAAAACCACCTGCTCGCCTGAAAACCTGACTTCCTGATTGACTGCTCCTCCTCCTCCTCCTCCTCTTCCCTTCTCACCTCCTCCTCCTGCCAGATTTCCTGTGAGTTCCTCTTCCTTTTCCCGTTTGCTTGTCTTCCATTTGTCTGTGAGCTTTCTGTTAGAAGGACCTCGGTTTGTTTTTGTCCCCTGCATTATCGCCGTCTTCTGAATTGTGTGCCAGTGCATGAAACCTGTGACCATAGAAACCGTAACCATCAGCGTAGGGCGGGGCAACAAATCAATACTTCATTTTCCTCGTGTGTATTTGTTGAAAAGAAGATTTTATCATAATAGTTCTGAATGTTCTGTCTGACTGTAAAACTATCATCTGGTTTTTCCAACTTTCAGTCAGAAGCGACAACATCTTGAATTTTGACATTTATCCTGATAATTATCGATATCCAATAATATTTTTGGCCCTCTCGCCCTACATCAGTGTAACGGAGAAAGGAAGGAGCTAAGCGGGCAGTTTTAGTATTAGAATATAAGTAAACAATGTATGTGTGAAGAAAAACATAAAGCAGCAGCAGAACTGATAGTAAAGTGAGTGATTATAGAAAGAGGCAGTTAGAGTTGGCGTAGCTCCCAGGAATGAACAGCAGCACCACATCCAACCGTTTTGAGTTGTAGTTCAGTATCAGCTTAGTTCCTCTCGTTTTAGTGACGCAGCCAGACTTTTTACATTACGACCTTCTGACATGTTGACACGTGTGTGTGTGTGTTTCTGTCCATCCTGCTCATTGTTTGTGTGTGTTTGAGTAACTCATGCAGTTTTACTGCTGCTGCAGGTTGTGGACAGGATGTCTCATTGTGTGTCTTCGTTGTGACCTTGATGACTACAGGAGTGTGTTGAGCGTGAGTGCCTATAGTGTGGTCCTCAGATTAAGCGACTACTAAAGGAAACGCAGTGATCATTTCTCAGGAACATAGTGGTGTTAAGCTGAAAAAAGGGAGCTTTAGGTTCTGTTAAAACGGATTCTGGTCCGACAGGACCGCTGCCTGGAAGTGGACCAACGTCTGCTGAAACAGGGCGGATTCTGTGGCTCGTTTGTAGGAGTGGGGGCAAAAAAACCCGATACAGCATAGTATCGTGATGTTTGCCATGGCGATACACGGACGCCAAGTATCGATATTTCAGTATATAAATTGCAGATGGGAGTTTTAACTTTTTGGTACTAGAATAATAAAATCTATTGTTCTTTTAGTCCACTAGAAAACTTGATGTGACATGATAAACTTTAGATAAAATTTTAGATAAACGTTTAGATAAATGTTGACAAAGTTTGACTTTAGGGACCTAATTGGAAGTTGGAAAAAGGTAATAAATTACAATATATCTCAATATATTTAAAATCGCAACATAAATATCGTGATAATATCGTATCGTGGGGCCTCTGGTGATTCCCACCCCTTCTCGTTTGTGGCGTTGGAAGCAAATAAGAGATAACCGCTAGATGTGTGATTTTTAGCATGCTGCTTTTAAAAGTGAAAGCGCTACTAAACCCATCTGCTAACACCCTAATCAGTCAACGCTGTACTTTCATTAAGTCATAGATTCCAAGAAACTGTTAAAAACTCCTGGGAAGGACTGAAAAATATCATCAAACAAAACAATAATGATGCTAAATAAAACGCCTGGTTTCCAGCCGCCGTTTGTTCTTTGGCTGGGATGTTAAATTGCGTTCTAAGTGCTAATTTAAGTTGTCTGCAGGAAACCAGCTGTAGTTATTCTGCTCGATGACACCAGAGAATACACAACATGTGCGTCAGACACCATGTGTGATGCACTGATGTGTCGTCCTTCCTGCAGGTCCAGATGGTCTGAACTTCAGTGTAGTGTGTATTGTAGGAATGAGTGAAGTGGTAAAATACTGGCTTTATGTCATCGAGGTCTGCATCTGCTCTTCATCAGCCCTGGACTTCCTCTCCTGGCCGCCACTGATTCTGTCTCTTTGTGTTTTTCTAACACCAGGGATGAGCTGATCCAGATGAAACCTCTCGGTCGGACCAATGGCGGCAAGCCCTTCTCCTCCACCTCCTCCTCCTGCTCCGCCCCTTCCTCTCCCTCTCACCCAGTCAGCGTGTCCGCCCGCCCCGGAGCGGCCTATCCTAACTCGCCGTTGATGCAGAGTCCCGCCCATAAGCCCCAGGGTGGCGCGGTAAAGAAGGTGACTGGCGTCGGAGGCACGACCTACGAGATTTCTGTGTGAGTGGCAGCTTGTCTTGGACCACTGTGACGACGAGGAAATACCGCCCCCTTTCTGCTTTCCTGGGACAGATTTGGACGATACAAGGAGCTGCTGTAGACCCGGACATCTGAGGAGGGACTGGACCATTTTGTCAGGGTCTCGCTCCTCATTGGCTCACTGCCCGTGCAGCTAAACGGCACAGGGCTGTCCTGCTTCCAGACATCCACCTCAGTAACTGCTGGGAAAATGACTGACGTAGGTACCGGGACAGAGAAGAACATTTGTTGGGATTTCACCGGTGCAAACAAACAAGATTTGCCTCCTGGTTTCTGTGGGTTTCCTCCTCGCTGTAGCTCGGGAGGTGGCGCAGGCCTCTTAACGTGGCCAGGTCTGGGGGTTACTTTAGAAAAGTATAGCAGCGCAAGGCCCTGCCAGGGGGAGGAGTCTGATCCCCACCAGAGGGGTGGATTAGGGTTTGATCGCTGTAGGTTAATGACGTATCAGCACTTTGGGACTGAAGCTGCATTTAAGGTCAAATCGACGCAGATGTGATATTTGATCAGTGAACACGTTGGTGCGGTCTGTTGAAACCCGGAGAGATTCATTCAAAGTTAAGGGCTTCCCATAGACAACCAGTTCAGTGTTGATCAAGTGATAGCTAGTTGTCAGTTAAACCCTACTTTTTAACACCAGCATCCACCCAAACGGAGCGTGGTGCGGTTGCGTTGGACCAAGCGTTCCCAGGCGTTGTGCGACGCCGCTCTCCTCGAGGCCGCCGCCTCGTTCGCAGCCGACAGGAGGTCACAAAAATCAGGCAGTCGGAGGGATCTGTCACGGACCCGAGAGACCACAGCGGGACCCCGGCGCTGGCGATCGATCCACGTCGCTGTGTGAACTGACTTTAGGGAAGAAATACGAGAGAAAAAAACACAATGCTGATTCGCCTTTTCTTTAACTCGTTGATTTCTTCCTAGATGTGAATATGTTTGTACAGGACGATGTGATTTCAAATGTGGATGTCTTTTTCTTTATCTTCATTTTTTAGAGTGGCATTTTTACCGGACTGCAGCATGCACTACTCTTACCAGCCACTGTAGGCCGCCGTGTTTGGCTGTGGACCATGTCGTCTGTTTGAACAAACAGGAAGTGGGAAAGTAAATGATAATCATGGTTTGGCCTTTGGTTGTTAACGGGTTCCTTAAGACGAGGCACGTACTTCTAGAAAATGTTTTCCTTGAGCAGTTGCCTTGAAATTTCAAGTGTTTTTTTTATGTCACCTATTTAATTTGAAATTGTTTTATATGGATTTATATGAAAATACAGCTATTGATAAATGAAGAGTTTTTAGTATCGACTCAAGAGGGGTCGTGTTGTCAGTTTCAGATTTATGATGAGAGGGCCCTTCCAATTGGTTTTGGTTGAAGCTCCTCAGTTGATCCTCTGTGAAAGAATCTCAGCTCCAATTTCTTAAATGTTCTATTCTGGGGAAAGAAAACAAACAAACAAAAAAAAAAAACAGGGCCGCAAACTCTCTCAGACACGGACGTCTTATTTAAAATACCGTGTCCTAATATTCAGACTGTAGACCAGATTCATGAAATTCCATCTGGTCTCCAAATTAATGTAAATTTAACTTCATTTGTGAATGAAGGTGCTCGATGCAAATCAAAGAAATGACCAATGTGTGTATTGTACAGCTTAATGTGTGTGTGAGTGTGTTTGTGGATGGGTGGATGTGGTGCAGGACCGTGAAATTGATAATAAACTTAAAACAAAGAGGTGAACACTTGTCACTCTTTTTTTTTTTTTTTTTTCAACCAACCACAAGGAAATTGAGTTATAGTGCTTTGGATTGCAATAATGATAATTATCACAATAATTTACCTCAATAACAATAAAATGTTCAATATCTTGTCAATAAATATTTGGTTTAATACATTTTAATCAAATATTAAAATATTTATTTTGTTAAGAGGCCTAAAGAAAGATTAATATTTGATGAAAAAGATAATCGTTTTGATTGTTCTCCCTCAGACTTGTGAAGCGATCTGCTGTTTGGCATCAAGTGTTTGTCCCGTTCTGACCATAAAGGAAAGTTTAACCACATAATTAACATCTGGTTGCTTCAATTTTCACTCAGGAGGAAAAATCTGCCTCTAAACGGGAAAGAAATAACGATTTGATGTTTATCGTGATAATTATCTATCGAACGATATGAAGTGTTTTTATCGTGATAACTAGTGTTGTTGTCAAGACCAGAGTTTAGAGACCGAGACCAGTTCCCTACATTACATGACACCATCGTGGGGAGAGGGGAGGGGGGGGGGGCAGTCGTTAATGGGAACAACACGTTCGGTCATTGCATTTGAAGAAACACGTCTTACATCCAAGCAAAGTTAGGATGTTAACAAATAAGACAATGCAAAAGCAATTTACTGATATTCCCAAAGTTATGATCTTGACTGGTCAAAATCCCGAGTCCTCAACGTCTGAGACGAGACAAAGACCATCAAAAAGTGGTCTTCAGACCGGCCTCGAGTGCTACAACACCAGCGACACGCAGCCCTAGCTGAAGTCACGACTCGCCTCTGTTCCACTGGCTTCTCAATTAAATCTCTCGTTCAGCGTCTTTCATTGGTCGGTCTGAAAACAAAAGGGTTTGCTGGCGTCTGCGGTCCTTATTCTAAGACAAAGTACGGCCCACTAAACGTTTACTTCTCTGATTGTGGAAATAAGAGGACACGTTCACCTGGCAGAGAAAAGTCAAACTAGAGTTTGTGTGAGGAATGAAATGCACATCGTTTTATTACACGGTCAACAAAACAGGCCAGACTTAAATGAAATGCAACGTGACAGAAGGACAAATCCTTTTCAAAATACAGTACAATACATAACAAAAAAAGTTTTAGTAATTAAGGAATGAGCTCAGTGTCTTTAAAAGCAAATCTAAACAGCTTCACAGTTATTACAACAAGGGGGGGGGGGGGTTAATATTCTGATCAGAAATCTTATTAAAAAACAGTGCTAATAAATCAAATACCTCAAACTCCAGAAGGACCGGGGGAAACCGCCTTTAACTAATAACGGAAAGGGAGTTTATGAATAAATCAAACTACTCTATTTGCTCTCTATTTGCTGCGGTCCTGAGACTGTTGGGAGCCTGGCCGGAAAATACTAGTTACCCTGTTGCTGACATACGGAGTCGGGGGGGAAGCACGGCATGAATGTAGGCAACAAGTGAACAGAAGCAGCAGCGAGCAAAGGAGACGAGGATCCTGGAAATCCAGACCGAGGGAATGTGGAGTCACAAAGGCTGGAATGACGGGAGAGCTGAGCTCGGTCTGTCCACAACAGTACAAACTAATGTCCACGGGGACCAATAGGGAGGCTGTCCAACTGTTAGTTAACGAGTGTAACTCCACCCGACCATGCAGCTCCCATACTGCACCAAACAAAACCAGCAGGAACCTGAACGTACTGAACTCTGCCTCCGTGTTACATCTCAGTTTACATGAACATACAGTTAATCATAGAATGATTAGAAAATCTACTCTGAATTAAATTAGTTGCATAAAATATCTAAATAAAAAAACAGCATGACATTCACTGTTAATTAGTAAGAACTCTGACACCGACTCTCTTACAGCAGCAGCCAGTCAGACTTCACAGCTTGAACCATCAGATGTGTGCTACATAGACGTGGCCACACAGCACATCTCCGGGCCTAACGCTCAGATTCTGGACCGGGTTTTAACATTAGAAGCCGGTTCACTGTCTGCTTCTCCACTGAAGTGTTCACGTGTTGTCTTTGTTCTTTAAGAAAAGGGAAAAGGACGGAGGTCGCTGCAGCCGCGCCAGTGCCGACGGTGAATGCCGTTGATGCTGGAGGCAGGCAGGAGGTGCTGTGGGAGTTTGAATTCTCAGGGCAGAAAAAACAAAGTCCAGGTATTCACAACACGCGACGGGCCAAGAGTGAACAAACTCAACACTGAGGGGAGGAAGAAGAGACAGAGTTCCGTCCAGAAGTCCAAGCTGAGCGACGCAAACTGTCTTACTTGTCCTTTTTGGATTCAGGCCGCTCCGACTGGCCGTCGGCTCCTTGCTGCTCGGGCTCCTCCTCCTCGGGGACCGGTGGGAACTGGGACTGGCTGACCTTGTCTCCTTTGGTCCTGTTGAGCTTCTTGGACTTCTGGTAGAGCTCGTTCAGGTTGAACTCTCGGATGATGTTCTCCTGGTGGAGACAGACAGAGAGACCGACGTGAGCTTATTCGCAGACATGTTTTGATTTTATTCACTTGGATTAGGACTTAATTTTCCTCTAAGTTTTTTTATTTTGTTGAGGAAAAAGGACTGAAAAAAGCTTTTACCTAATTTGACTCGTGCATATTTGTTGCCAAAGATTTTATCGTAATGGTTCTGAATGTTCTGCCTCAGATGTGTGAAGTGATCCTCACGTGTTCTGACCATAAAGACGAGTTTAAACCTCAGTTAACCATCTGGTTTCTTCAACTTTCACTCAGGAGCAAAAATCAGCCTTTAAACTCGAAAGAAATAACGATTTGATACTTATCGTGGTAATTATCGATATCGAAACATATGAAACTTTTTATCGTGGTAACATTTTTGGCCGTATCGTCCGGCCCTAATCTGCGTGATACATCAAATCCACGTGTAATATCTTCTTATTGAATTGTTGAAATTGTGCACTTGATCCTTGCCGTTTGTGAGTTTCCTGGATTATTTGACGGTTTCCTTGAAGTCAGAGACGGAGACACCGGCCAAGAGCTAAACTCAACACCAGACCTCTTTACAGAGATGTAGTTTGTGAACTTACAAAGTAAACAGATATATTATTTAGTTATAAACTCTTTCAATAATTTCTGGAAGATATATTTAACGTTTTCTGTAGCCAATAAGGAAAATGCAGTGGTACCGGCAGGGATCCAGTAGTGCACAACTCAAACTGATCTACTGGCCCAGAGAGTCTAACGTAATGAAAAATGTGACGTTGGACTCCGCCTGTAGAATAAAACTGTTACTACAGCGGTCACGTGCACAATAACGGTGCAAATGCACAATAGCATCAAAAGCGTGTGATGTTTCATGAAGTGCATTCTGCAGTTAGGTTTCCAATTACAGATTTAAACCATCACTTCTCAGTAAACAGCCTCAGCATTCACAAGTTGGCAGCAAAAGCTCTGCTGGACACTTTTTACCTTCGGACTATATTTGACTCAGTTCTTTATAACACTGGTGCACAGCACGGCTTCAAAGAGTAAACTGATGTTTGCCATTTTAGGGAATTGAGTGTACAGTCCGGTCTGACCTCGGTGAAGGTCCAGGACACAGCTCTTCCCTTCTTGTCCACCTGGGGGCGCCGCATCACCTCCTTCCCTCCCTGAAACAACACCAAGGAGGGAAGCTGTTTGGACAGCGGAGACGCAGACACCTTGTATCTGCAGAACAGAGAGACATCCGTACCAGACAGCGGGTCACATTTCCAGTCAGTCCTCTCTACACAAACAAAGACGCATCGGCCTGAGAGACTTGGAGACAAATGAGAATAACAAATACAAAGTCTTACTTCTTGGAAACCTCTCCATAACGTCCAATGTCCACTTTGCCAAACTTGAGACCAGCACAGTTATATCTGACACACAAAACAAAAAAAGGAAGTGAGGGTGCTTTTTTTTTTTAAATGTCACCAAGTGCACTTTAGACTTCACTGGCGGACGGCGTCTTACTTCAGGGAGAGATCAGCGTAAACAGAAGCGAAGGACTGGCACTCCGGAGACCAGTTGGCGAAAAACTCAACGATCCACGTCACCCGACTGTCCCTGTCCAGCTCGTCCTGGACACACAAACACACAATATTCATCCATGACTCAAAAGTAACCTGCACCTCTCCCACACAAGCACATAACTCTTAAAGCTTTTAGCATTCTGCTTAGACGCTGAACTACACTGGCTGGACTGCTGCTACAAATTCTACTACTTGTACTCACATCAATGGTTTTGTCACTGAAGTATTTGATGTATTCTGGTCCCATGTAAAGAGGAGGCTTACAGGTCATCAGGAACACTGAAACAGAAGAACATCAGGAGCAGAGTTGGTGCTGAAACGATTACTTCATTCATTCTTTCTGGTGTTCACACTGAAAGCCATTCAACAGAGTATTACTTAAAATGATCCAATAAATAGAAAAAATAAAAATGAATCTTGTCATGTGAAGTCCATCGCTGAAATAAATAAACTGTTTCATAGTAGTTTCAGGTCAGTTCAGTGATTTCAGCAAATAAAAGCTCGGCTGTTTTGTGTGTAAACAGAGATCCACAAATGTGTAAATAACACTTTGTATGTGAAATTAAAATATCTGTGTAAATTGTACATATTTGCTTTTGTGGATATGATTTTACACAACACAAATATAAAAATACAAGTTTTGGGTAGTGAGATATTTGTGTGTATATATATATATATATATATATATTTTTTTTTTTTACAGATCTCTGCAGAACACATTGGACAAAATTCCACAAATGTGTAAAAAGGAAGTTACAAATATAACATGACCCACAAATTGACAGAAAGCAATCGTGCAAAAACTGTTGTGTGTAGACGTCACTCTGTATTTCTGTGGATATGATTTTACTCATCACAAATGTAAAAATACATATTTGTGGATAGTGAAATATTTGTGGATAGTGAAATATTTGTGGATAGTGAAATATTTGTGGATGGTGAAATATTTGCGCATCATAGTACACATTTGTGGATTATTTTCTGGGGGTTACAAATATTAAAATAACTGGTGCGGTAGTGAGTATTTGGGCAGCAGGATGGTGTATGTGTAGGTGTGTTCTTTTGTTATATCAATTTTTACATTTATATAAATACAAATCCTGTTCCTCTGTAATCTGTTTGGACAACACAAATCCAGAGTAATGCTCGTGTAAATAACAGCTACACACCATTCTAGTATAACTTGCCTCTGTGTGTATTTTTACATGTATTTATGTCACCTATATGTTTGAGCTCGAGTATACGTCTAGCACCTAATCACCAAATTCCTCTTACATAATCCAATAAAATATATCTGATGCGTGAGTGTTTGAGGGGAGGCTGGACCGACCTATGCAGAGAGTCAGGTAGAGCAGACCCATCCGGATGTCCAGTCTGAAGAACAGGATCACATTGGCCACTTTGCTGAACAGGATGATGTTGCCAACATGCTGCTCCACCGTGACTGAGTGAACAGATGCAGAGACGCCATGAACACCATATAAGTTAGCAGGACACGGGGCTGCGCAATTAATCACATTTCAATAACGATTCCCATGTTGGCGTCCACCGATTATGAAAACAAATTAATCGAATTAAAACGATAATTGCATGCTTTTTCGTTTCATTTGTAGTTTATTACATTACAGGTATTTATTCATTTAGACTTACAATTGCTATTTATGTCAGAGGTCGCACGCCTCTCGGGCAACGAGGGGTTAAGTGTCTTGCTCAGGGACACATTGGTGGACGGGTCTCCCACATCATAGGCAAGCATCTTATCTGTCCCATCTGTATCAGTGGATTTATACTTTCCTCCCCGTTGGTTTAAGTCACTGCATGTCCTGACAGAACACCACGGTTGAGTTTTAGCGTTATGTAACATAACGAGATGCCATCAGCTGGAGAAGCTCAGCTGCCACCTGCTCAACCTGATAAAACACTTGTGCCGCCGTCATCCTCCTGCGCTCGAAGATGCTGTTTAAAGTTAATGCATAATCTTTTTTTTTTTTAAATGAAGCACTCAATTTTAAAAGCTCAATAAATGCATGATGTTTTCCCAGTTCAACCAGTAATTGTGTTAATAACCGTGATTTCAATTATGACCCAAATAAATTGCATTTTGCGACCGTTATTTGTTGCAGTGCAAGTATCTACTCGCACATGTGCAATCTGACAAACATTTGTTTAAATATAATGTGTTGAAGAACGGTGAGGGAGCGAGTCTGCACCGGCCTGCTGTTAATGGTCAACTTGACACGCAGCAGTGATAATACAGCAACCTTTTATTTTTATAATAAGCAAGCAGGAGAATCCTCCGTGTCTGCGTCTGTCTGCCAAACGTACGTTGGCAACCATTAATAAGTCGGTGTTAAGAATTTCCACGCAGCTGGCCGCACGTTTTAGCGTGTTGAGACGGGGAGCGACGCTCCGCCCAAAGCTATCAGACTCTTAAACTCTACTTCATCCTCAGCTCTGCTCCACTGGTGATGGTTTATTTCTGTTACCATTTTTATAATTGATTCTATATTAATGTTTATTGAAGGGAGTTTCAAAACTCAATTTCACAAATAAATCTGCCATGTACTTTTATTTTTGTGCTGTTTGCTTATTATTAGCTTATGTTCAGATCCAGTTAACGTGTGATTGACGCTTGAATATAAAGAAAAGCATCTGAACAAACTCTGTACATCTCATTCTCTTTTTTAAAAATGTAGGCTAATTACTTTTCGTGTGTAGCCTTGTACATCTGTCTATGATTGGTGAGTTTCTGAGGGTGCACTCAGTCAGCGTTCAGATGGGCTGCTTTACAGGCCCAGATGTTTGGTACCAGTTACATCAACAAATAGGGTTTAGTCTACAACATTAGCGGTGAGGCGCTTTGTGTGAAGAAGGTGTGAATTACTGTGCCAGTCCGCCCTGGCTGAGGGAGTTTACATGGCTTACACCTCTAACTGTATCCGCTGCACTAGACGTGGTCAACTAAACTGCACAGTTAAAACACGACGCCTTTATGAAGCACAACAGCAGCTAAAAACATCAAATCTGAAGATAGTCAGCGAACAGCTGACGGAGTTGAGCTAAATACGGAGTCCAGAGTTGTTGTTGTTGTTTTAAGTTTTGATCAGTCAGGAGGTTTCTACACGGAGCCGAAGTCGGTCGGTTTCTTCTCCAAAACAAATGGAACAGCTGATTACAGCAGGTAATAAATCACGTTCCAAATACAACACAGACGTGATCGCTGCGAGCTGATCTGCAGCTCTTGTCCATGACCTTCCAGACTGTTCAGATTTAATATTTGTGTTTCTTTATCTGTGCTGGAGAAATTAATAAAGTGAGCAGTGAAAAGCAATTTTTAATCCGTCAAATCTGATGTTCATATCGATGCATTTTGCTCACAAATAATGATGCCGGTCTGTTGCTTTGTACAGCGTTTACGTCAGCTGGTTAATTTGCCTTCGCTGGCGATGGGCTGGATTAACCTTTCAGTTACTAAAAGTTCTTCAGGTGGAAACGCAGCTTTACTGTGTGGCGGGAGAGCAGCAGGCAGTGAAATAACAGAATGGGGTTTAATTTATACATCGTGCTCCGAGTGAGCCAAGTGGAACGGATCCAACCGACGGTGCTCTGGCAGAAGTGATCCGGTCCAAACTGGTCGGTCTTAAAAACCGCAGACAACGGTTCTGGCGCCCGTGGTTCAGGGATGTATACTATTATCTTCCATGCATCTGATCATAACGTGATATTAATGCTCAGGAAAAATCTATTCAAAATAAAAAACAGCAGAGATATTTACTCACTCGCTCGTCTGTTCTTCATCATGACGATGGCGCTGAGGAACATGAGGATCTCCACCTCTCTCTGAGAACACAAACATGAAATGTGTCCAGTCTGTCCATATTGGCTTCATCCTTCAGGAATTGTACAAACAAACATTTTATATCGAAGATGGTAGCGGTAAACACATAACACACAGTATTCCACCATATTTAAGCTGGACAACAAGACAGATCACTGTTACATTGTCTCCTCGAGAGCCTACATGACCTGCGACTACCTGGGTTAAATCAGCTCTATCAGATGACCCAAATGGGAAGTTAAGCGCCAGAGGCTTTGTTGCAGTATCAAAAATACTCGGTTAAAGTTAGGAAAACATGGTCGTTTGGGTTTAGTCACAGAATCCGATGGGTCACAGGTTTTGGTGTTACACCGGATCCCATCGTTTGCTTAAAATTGTTCGCAACAGACACATCACTAGCCCCTCTGACGCAGAGCGGCCCAGGCTTTATGGTGCTTTCAGACCAAAAGCGAAGCGAGCGTTCGGGGCGGTGAGTTTACATACAAAGTCAATGCAAAGACGCGTAGAGCCGCGATTTCCTGTCGGGCGGCGACACGAAGGCGAAGCAAAGGAATTCTTCTCGCAGCAAGGAGGTCGTGGGTTCAAACCCTGGTTGCCTTTCTGTCTGGAGTTTGCATGTTCTCCCCGTGTCCGCGTTGGTTCCACCATCCAAAGACGTGTCTCTAAATGGTCTTTAGGTGTGAGCGTGACTGGTTGTTTGTCTATGTGTGGCCCTGCGATGGACTGGCGACCTGTCCAGGGTGGACCCCGCCTTTCGCCCGGTGTCAGCTGGGATTGGCTCCAGATGGATGTCTTGCTGACAGACCTGACAAAGCATGAATTCATGCATTCACGGTGAGAGGCTAGGAAACACTGTTCCCCTCTGTTTGTCATCATGCAGATGACAAAGAATTTTATATATAAAAATTTACAGAGTATATATATATATATATATATATCCCGTATATAATAACACCTTGATTAACTGCAGTGGGTTATAAATTACGTTTTGTGACTTGAATATCTGCCAATAAGCAAAACAGCATGAATTTCCAGTTCCATCCTCTCCCTGTAAGTTAGCTAACACCTGCTAAAGCCACCGGGCCTTTCTCTCAGCCAGTCTCACCATCCGCCGCTCATCCCCCCGACCAGCTAACTCGGCTTGAAACCAACCCTTGAAAAGCAATTTGTGACTAGTATTTTCTACGGACCCAGTCGAAGTCGCAGGAGTTGCCGTCCTCTCGCTGCGTGGCCAGATTGTCGCAGATGCCAGGCGTCTTGCGGACAGCTAGAAAGGCTATGGACATGAACAGGGACGCTACGTAGTAGGGCTTCAGCAGCCACTTGTACACCTGCGGCAGGTGGTACAGAAAAGCGAGTAACGGCGTAAGCAGAGCCATTTTCTATTAAACTGTCGCACTGAAGCTAAAAGTGAAGCCCGTACAGACCGACGCTGCTGCGGCCGTTAGCTCACTGTGAATGACGCTAGCTAGCTTGGTGGTTGTGCGAAGGTAGCCGTGAGACAACTTCCGGTTTAGATGGTTAAAAATAAAACCATTTATAATTATATAATATAAGTATATGCACCGCGTTGCCTTTAGATTAATTTATTGTATTGTGAAATAGATTTTATGATATTATGTTTTATATTTTAATACATCTGTGGCGTTCTTTACACCCAAATTAACATACATCTGCTTTTAATATGAAGGTGACAGACCTGAGTTCCTGTGTAGCTGTGGTTAACTGTTGGTAACTTGGTTCAGCTCTGCAGTTTGCAGTCGGCAAAATTGTAAAGAATTCCTGATTTAAAGGGGTGGGAAGAGGTACTGAGGTCAATCAGGACGAATGTGTCAAACAGGCGCTGATTGGTCACTGTCACAGGTCGCTGCTGATTGGTTCCTGTGCCACTGGAAGAGTTTTTATGATTTTACATCACAGCTTGGTAAAGTGGGATGCAATGACCTGCCATCATTTATCTCTCTTAGGATCCTCGTGGGGCTCTCAGGCTGTCTGGAGTAAAAAGAAAGAGAGAGATGTATTACTGTGAGAAGTTCAAAGATAGCACATTTATCCATCGTCAACCACTTATCCTGCATACAGGGTCGCGGGGGGGCTTGAGCCAATCTGACATCAGGCACAAGGCGTGGTACACCCTGGACATCTGCATGTCTTTGGACGGTGGGAGGAGGCCGGAGCACCCGGAGAGAACATGCAAACTCCACACAGAAAGGCCGGGGCAACCGGGGTTTGAACCCACGACCTTCCTGCTGTGAGAAGACAGTGCTAACCACTGCACCAGAAATGTGTTTTATCTTAAATGAACACCTTCATTTATCACATCAGGAGGAATTCGGAGTGGTTCAATTATTTTCAGCTGCGGTATTTTTCACAGCAGACAATTTGACTTGTCATAGTAGAAAAGTAAAAGAACGATGTCTGTTACCGTTCAGGCCTACACCTCCTCCATCGTGGCCCACTCATTATAATAATAATAATAATAATAATCTTTATTTGTAGAGCACTTTTCAAAAACAAGTTACAAAGTGCTTTAACAAGTGTAAAGACAATAATACAAAAAAAATACAAGATAAAAGCATGAAAACATTGAAAAGACTAAAATACACGTTTAAGATAAATATAAAATTAGTAAAATACGATAAAATAAAAGGGATAAAAGACACTCATGTGTCCAAACATCCTCCAACCCGTGCAGGACACCACAAAACTATAGAGGACTTGCATCAGCTCGTCATTTCTGCAGTTTCAAGGACAGAACGCTGGTAGCTGTTATTGTCTAACAACAGATTTAGAGGACTAACTCAGCTGCTCTTTCGCCTCTAACACCTCCAACCCCACTACTCCCCCCTCCTCCTCCTCACTGTCCCCCACCCTCCTGTGAGACACCAACCCCTGCTGACCAGGTGAGAAGACAGATGAGGAGACCCCACTCCAACAAGACTGCAGGCCCTGACGGTGTCCCCGTCCCGGGGTGCTCAAAGCCTGTGCCCCCCAGCTATGTGGAGTCCTTCGCCATGTCTTCAACCTGAGCCTGAGTCTCCAAAGGGTCCCTGTGCTGTGCTGTTCCTGTGCCAAAGACGCCACCTACACCACAGACTTCAACTACCACACAGAGTTCTGCCATCTTCAGAAGTTTTCTGATGACTCTGCTGTGGTTGGATGTATCAGCAGGGTGACCAGGCAGAGTACAGAGCTGTGGGGGGGACGACTTTGTCACATGGTGTGAGCAGAAACATCTGCAGCTCAACGTGACAAAGACTAAAGAGCTGGTTGTGGATCTAAGGAGAGCAAAGGCACCAGTGACCCCTGTTTCCATCCCTGTGGACACTGTGGAGGACTACAAATACCTGGAGTGCACATGGACAATAAACGGGACTGGGCCAAGAACACTGAGGCCTCTACAGGAAGTGCCGTCTCTATTTTCTGAGGAGGCTGAGGTCCTTCAACATCTGCAGGAGGATCTGAGGATGTTTTATGAGTCTGTGCTGTCCTGTTTGCTGTTGGATGCTGCGGACGCCAACAGACTCAACGAACTGATCCAAGGCCAGCGACGTTGTGGGGGTGGAGCTGGACTCTCTGTCGGTGGTGTCAGAGAAGAGGATGCTGTCCAAACTACATGTCATCTTGGACAAACCCTCCTCAAAGATAGGAGCTCTTTCAGTGCAAGACTCATTCCCCCAAAATGCACCGCAGAGCGCCACAGGAAGTCATTCCTGCCTGTGGCCATCAAGCTTTCTAACTCCTCCCTCTAAGTGTCTAAAACTTAGTCAGTTATTAAACTAGACCTCATTATCTATTTTCTGTCCAATATTCCCTGTCGCGGTGACAGCCCGGCTGTCGGTGAGTGTCCTGTTTCTCCTTTCCCTCACATTCTGGTTTCTCCTGTGCCTCCTCTCTCTCTCTGTGTGCTCTCTCCCTCCCTGCTCCGGAGCCCGGCTGGCTACCCACACCTGCACCTCGTTTACCTCCATCCCCGGCCGCCGCACCTGCCAGCCATCAGCCTCATCACTGCCAGTATATCTACCCCGGCTTTCCACTCCACCCTCGCTCGATCGTCGCAGCTCTTGACCTGGTGTCGCCGCTTCGTTCTGGCTTTATTTCTTATACTCCTTTTGCCTCTTGTCCTCTTGCCTACTAACCCTGTCTCTCGGTTTTTCCCCGCCAGGTTCACTCACCTCTGCCTCCCAGCTCGGCCAGCCGGGCTCGCTCGCCTGCCTCCTCCTCTCGCCGCCTCCACGACACCCCCCCGGCTTCTCCACTCGCACCCCGCCTGGACCCCCGTCTCCGTGTCCTCACCTACCCGTCTGCCAGCCTCCCCCCTAGCCTCCAGCCTTGTGCCCTCCGTTCCTCCAGCTTCTCGGTTCCCCGAGTCCTCGTCTGCCTCTCCCCCTCCTTCCACCTGCCCTCGCCTCGAGCCTGCTTTTCCTCAATAAACCTCTCTTTCACCCTCAGCGTTGCGTTTGGGTCCTTTCTGTCTCCCACCGTTACAATTACCTGTTTAATAATTAATGTGCAATATTCTCTGCTGCTATTTATTCACTAGTCCTTTTTGGTTCATCACAACTCTTAATAATGTAAATATTGTACATACCCACACTCCTTTATATTTGTCTTTATTTTTATATTTATACTATTATATTTATATACTCTTTATCTATCTACCTTTGACAAGTGCAACTGTGACAAAAGAATTTCCCCTCGGGGATCAATAAAGTATTTCTGATTCTGACTTGTTGACATTTTTGCTGAGAAAAGGGGGGAAAAAATAGATGAAATGTTAGAGGACAGAAAATAGAAGTCAAAATTCTGACATATGTGGTGGCTGCGTCCACTTCATTTATACAGCCTATGGCTGTGAGCCGAAGTCAGATCATGTGAAATGGGTGGTTTTGCATTTTGGTTTGGTTTGATATAAAACATGTATCATCACCAAGTAATAACCTCATGACGTTTGAATGGCTCCATAAGGGAATACGAGAATGTTTGTTATTTCTTGTCCCAATTTTCCCACCCGACTTGAACGCAGCATAAGCATGTAGTAGAAAAATCTCTGCTGTTCAACCCTGAGTGATTCATCTGGATATTGTATGAGCTCATCACATACATTTGTAGATTTGACAAAGATGGTGTTTTTGTTCGTGATGAATTTGCTCATATACCAAAGTAGAAAAAGACGCAATGAAAAGGATATTTGTATCTGATTTCCACACCACAGAACCAGTTACTGGGAAAAAGTAATGTGAATCAGTTTTCATTTAAACAACATTTGTGAATGCTTGTATGTTGCTAATTTGATTTTATTGTCTGAGGTGTGAATTAGCAACTGCTGTATCTAGCTGTGTATGTATCCCTGCTTGTGTTTAAATAAAACATGGGTGGCATAAATATAAACTCTATAGCTTAAAGCATAAAGGAAGTTTTGCTTTAGCAGAATCAGTTTTTTCCCCCCAAATATGTATAATTTCTTTAAAGTGGATTATTATGTTCACAAAAGTGTCTCTAACTATGCATGCTCCGTCATGATCAACATTATGTGATAAAAAAGTCAGACTGTCGTAAAAGCCGGATTTCCAGATGAAGCCAAACCATGATCACAGCCTTTTAAATAAAACATACAGGATTAGAACAGTCTCATAAGGGTTTACAAACAAATATGTAACTTGTAAAACATTACATAAACGTAGAGTGATTTGTAAATCTGGATCCATATCTATGCCTCTAATTTACAACTCATATATCAGCATTTGTTCGTCAATGTAGCATTTTTCACCTATTCAATGCAATCTCCACCTGTTCTTGTGGATCCTTTTGAGAATGTTCTTCTGCACCAATTGTGTCACGCAAACAATTCAACATGTGTTGGGAAGACCAACCGCTGTGAACCATCTCTGGTTAAACGAAACAGCCCCAGTCTGCCTGACTGAACATCCATTTTTGTAGAATATCTTTAAGAAAGTCAGACTCAGTCGATGTCTAAGTTCTGCAGAGACGAGCCCACTTCACTGCCAAGAGGTTCTCGTCTCATGCAGCAAACAGAACCTGCATGGACACTGTGGCCTGTTTGTATTGTCGTTGGAACGACAATACAATTGTCGGTAACAACTGAACATACAATGAAAAACTTAGACCTGCTCTATAAGAAAAGTGCATTGAGATAAATTTTGTTGTGAATTGGCGCTATGTAAATAAAATTTAATTGCATCTCTCTGCTGCTCCTATCACTCCCTCTAAGCCCCTCCCGCCAAACCCACAAGAAGGAGCCGGTTGCCCTGGAAACCTCATCCCGCATAGGGCTCGCTCCCTACGGCAAGAGTCTCCCTAGACCCCGGCCCCTCACGCTTCGACTTGTCTTACGACGCCCAGTGGAGAGCGCCCCAGGCTTCAGAGGCAGCTACAACAACGTCTAACAGCAGGATGAATGAATTCTGGTGCGTTCGCCTGGATAGTACAGCTCGTTTGGTGCTGATGTGAATTCTGTCAGTCAAACTCTGCTGCAGCTGCCTGGCACCAAGACAGTGGTTGGATTGTCATGTCAAAGCAAAAGAACTAAACACAGGATTTGATATATAATCTGCCTCCCTAAATATTTCAAAAGGGGTGCCTCAAGGCACAATCCTTGGGCCTCTTCTTTTTATCATTTATACAAACAACCTCTAAAATAATGTAAAATATACAAACTATCCTTACTATGCTGATGACACTGTTCTCTATTGTTCTGGGTCCACATTAGGTCAAGCAATCACAAATTTACAGTCTGCTTTTAACATCTTGCAACATAATCTGGCTACTTTAAAACTGATTCTAATCTCTAAAAAAAGGCTTTTTAAAGGACCTTGCAGAAAGGCAGTCTGTCTGTCACTGTTTTTAAATTGATTTAGGACCCAGGTTTTTTTTATGATGACATTGTTGTTTGAATATGATGAGTGAAAGTGTGTCTATGTATTTACCTGCAAGTGTCGCTGTCTCTATTTGTAACCGCGCTGCTGCCACTTGCCAGGACACTCTTGTAAAAGACATTTTTAATCTCAAGAAGCTTTTTATCCTGGTTAAATAAAGGTTTGAATGAATGAATGTATGATATGTGATATTAACATTTTTTCAAAAGTTATAACTAATACTATTAACAAATCCACCTGCTGATTGTGAAATCTGTTTAGGAAGAGATCTTGGACATAAATACATACAAATGTATTTATGTAAATAATTTGGTAACCGTGTATGCACGTCAGAATGTATGCATTTCTACTGATTAACAGGTAAAAGCTGTTAAAAATGTACTCCGTGTACTTTGTCAGTTCATCTAGTCCATTAAAAAGTGTGTGACAGTGATCCCACAATAATCATTACTGTACAACACACCTCCTTTTTGTCAGCGTCACAATTTTAAATTTTAAAATATTTTTATCTAAAGCTAAACCGGAAGCATCGACTGACAAAAGGCTGGGTGGTCCCTGCACCTGTCAGTCTTGAGTGTCTTAGTGACATTACATGAACCTTTTAAAGCCTGGCTCCAAAAAGACACAAAGACAACGTGAACATGTCAGGTGATGACACAACAAAGCTTGGAAAGTAAAATCCTACCCTACCAGGTGCTCGTCGTTTGTGTAACATTGTCGGACTTACATAAGGAGTATAGGAGAGGAAAGGTTAAGGATAAAGCACAGTACATATAAATCTATAAGCCAGCAAAAATTTGCGGTTGGTCTGAATGCGGCATAAGGGCGTCCCGGCCTGACCAATCACAACCTGGATAGGATGGGCCACTGTGTGAGCAGCAGGTGTTGAAGTTGGTAAGTCTACATTTATTTGTGCATTGTGTTGTACGAGTGTTCTGTACTTATGACACCGTGCTAATCCCATAATAACAACACTGACATCACTTTTAATGGTTTTGTCTAAAAAAATGTAAATTCTTTAACAAGATTATATAGTTTTCCTCTGATATCACCAAACTACAGCAAACACGATTGATATATTTCATAATATGCTAAAGTTACATGAGAATATGCATTTATTTGATGGTTTGTCCCCTTATTTAAAGCAAAACTTGGCTCCATCCAGGCCAAACTGGTTTTCTGCCGCTGCACTGTGCAGTTCCCTCATCACTTCCTCCAACGTGAACAGAAACATCTTGGCTGTCAGCAGCACAACAGGGAGGAGATCGTGAAAATGGATATAAATAAAATAAAAAATAAATAAAAAATAACCGGACTGTTTTATTTTAAATGATACTCCAACCCCAATTATCTGTTGCTGTTAGTACAATTAAAATCACTTATTTAAGATTTAAAGCGTCATTGCCAATGCTCCACTTCCGGTTCAGCGGCTGGTCTGGGAACGGCCTTTAGTCGCTGGAGCCCTCAGGTTGGACGGAGGAAACTGATTCCAGATCCACTGTCGGGGTTAGACTCACCTGCTCCAATCAGAGCCGCTCAGTCATCCACACATGTCAAACTGCACACAGTTCGACAATAACATACAGGAAGTAAAAATAAAATAAAAATAAAGCCTTAAAGGGCTGACCTATTAAAAAGAAAACTTGCTTTGGGCCTAATTTTTGTTCCTTCAATAGCCTGTTGTCTGTATTTTAGTTTCATTACTTTGAAAATGACACAAATGAGGTGCATTTTGTAGTAAACTATAAAAACGCTTTCCTTTCTCCTTTCCATTCACACCAAAAACCTGACTTTTTACATCCGTTTGATTTGGCCTGTGTAATCTCACTGTATTGTCAGATGTATCTGTCACCTGCTCTCTTCTTATTTAGTTGCGTTCACATAAGACAGAGAAAAAAACCCAAAAAACCTTCTGATTTTGTGAGGGACAAAATTTAATTGTTTGCTCCCCAAATTAAAATTGGTAAATTATTTTTTCAATCATCACATAATGCAAATAAATAAAGTGTATTGACATTAAATATGTCATAAGTTGATTAATTAGATTTTCTTTGTCTGCATTTTTGAAAATTCAGGCGTATTTTATGGCTTTGTTCAACATAAACATGTTCAGCGAGCAAGTTAACGCTTCTATAGTTGTCGTAAAGTGGAAAATCTTTTAATGAAATTCAAAGTTGTGCTTTTTGAGGGATAAACTACAGTTTTCTTTCAAGTACATCTATTCAGAACATATAGGCCTACTGTGTAGGGGGGAAAAAAACCTTTATTGTGAAATGTCTGACAGGAAGTGCCGTGTGTCACTGTCGCCGGTTTGACTCCTGGCTGTTCCGCTGGTGAGTCTCGCCACCAGCCGGTCCGGGAGCAGCGGTCCGGACGGGATCATGAGCAGCAGACGCCGCCGGGCTGCGCAGCGTCCACGCGTCCATCCAGACCGAGCGACCCCCCGCCGCGAGCACTAGATCGACTCTTTTACTGGTCAGGAGAAACGACATTATGGGATTTTGACACGCAAACGTTACATCAGAGCCGGGTTATTATTTTCTGCGGGGGAAATT